GCCCAAGCACCTGCTGCTGGTGGATCCCGAGGGAGTGGTAAGGGCAGGGTGAGGGGGTTGGGGGGGTTGGATAGCTGCCGGGAGCTTCAGGGATGCTATGCCCACATCCCAGGTGAGGACCAAGGATGTGCTCTTTGAGAGCATCAGTCACCTCATCAGCCACCACCGGCAGAATGAGCAGCCCATCGTGGCCGCCGAGAGTGAGCTGCACCTCCGCCAGGTTGTCCAGAGGAAGCAGTGATGCCAGGGGGTACGTGAGCCCCCACCCCGCTCCCCTGGCACTGATCTCACCCCAGCCTTAGGCAAAGCCAGAGCTCCTCTGCACTCCTCTCCTCTGTTAGTGCCTGTCTTCTGGAGACAGTCAAAGGCCCCCAGGGTCAGCATCCCTGTCCCGGATCCCAGCAGGGCTTCATGGTCCCCATCCCTAAGGGGCTGTGGCTGTCCATCTGTTGTCCTCCCACCCACACTGCCTTCTCTCCATTGTCCACGTGGGACCCCTTGCCCAGAAGGACACACAGATGTTTATTCCATGTGCATTGGCAAAATGCTGCCTGGGATGAGGGATATCTGGAGACAACGTAGGAATGTGATAGGGTTGAAGCATCCTGTGCTGCCAACAGGGCTGCCCTGTGCCCTGGACATTGCTGTTCCCATACCCAGTGCTGCTTCTGCATCCCGGCACAAGAGACATGGAGCCAAGGGGAGGGGGGCAGTGGCAAGAGCATCATCCCAGGGCTCATGGGGTGGGATAGGTCGAGCAGTGTACACGTGTACACGTGTGTGTGCATGTGCAGGTATGTGAGGGGCTGCTGGGACTCCAGCCCCCACCCACTGAGCTGTGCCTCTCAGCCAGCACTACTGCTCAGGACCCAATTCTTGCCTCAGTCCCACGCTCTCTACAACGACACTGGGGGCTCTCCCATCTATGGGGGCTGCATCTCTGCTGGGATTTTGCCTGGCAGGGCTGGGCACAAGCATCTCTCAGAGCTGGTGCTGCTCTGGGTTTTCCCATTGGTTCCAGATTTCCAGCTGTCTTCTCTCCGTGAGCTCACATTGCCCCTGGAGCCCCGCATGGCCCTGAAGAGGGGGCCAGGATGGAGTCTCCGTGGGGATGGCACGGGGCAGCAGTGAGCCTGCAAGGCTGGGGCTGGAAGGGGGAAAAGCATCCCCAGCCCTGAGCCTCTACCTGGCTGGAGCATTGGAAGGTTTTTATGACATTCACCATCCCGTCTCTCGTCACTCGGCACGGGTTCATTGTTTCGATTACATTTCTAATTAAACCTGGAAATGAGTAAGTTCCCTGCTGTTCATGCTGCCCCAGGCACGGTGCTAGCAGGGGAGAGGGCTGGAAGCTGCCAGCTTCTGTGCTCAGCAGTGCCAGCACGGAGCAAGGGATGAAGATGGGGACACAGAGGGTGCCAGGATCGACTTCTGCATCACCATCAGCTCCTGGCTGGTCCTACATTTGTGGCTGCATTCTACAATCAGGTATCTCCTGCAGGCACACATCACCTCCGAGCTCCAGCATCTCCTCCTAGGGGCCAGGCTGGCTGGATGCTGTCAAGGTGTCGGTTGCAGCCTTGTCTCACCCTACAGCCAGGCTGGCATCAGAGCAGAGCTGTCGTTCATCACCTGCTAATGACCACTGACAAGTGGCTGGGAGCGGGAGCTGAGCCCGTGCCTGACTGTAGCTCCTGGCTGTGCTGCGTGGCCAGGTGATAAAAAGGCATTTGCTGGAATTGCTAAAGGCAGGAAAATCCCTGCCTGAGCCCAGAAGCTGCCAGATCCTGAGCATGTAAGGCTGTCAGAGCTAGCAGCGGGGCTAGGCTGCTGGAAGGGTCTGTTCCCTGTGGCAATGGGTGCTCAGCCTCAGTGGGTTTTGCTGCAAAGCATGGGCTGGGTATGGTGCAGTAGCAGTGAGCTTCAGGCAGGCTTTGAGACCACTTCCAGCACTGACATCTGAGGGGGTCCCCATTAGGCACCTTTTGCTTGCTGTGCCAGTGCTGGGCCTGGAGGAATAGGAGCACTGGTGTGGTCCCTCTGGGAAGGGTCAGCACTCCGTAGGGCAAAGCTTGCCTGGATGACTCAATGAAGATCATCATTGCCAAATAAAGCCCAGTAATGAATGTGTAATTTTCCATTGATAGTCAAATACCTACAGGGATGTAGCTCTTCCATCTCAGCTGCTATTTTTTGTCATGTAGTAATGTGTCTGCAAAGATAATTGCACCATTCCCTCAATAGCAGAGGCAGGAAAAGGCAAAGAGAGCCCCTGCTTTCTTCACTGTTGGAGAACCAGCCTGTGCCTCACACCAGCTGCTGCCTGAGATGCTGCGAGCCTGGTGGGGCTGGCACGTCATGTTTGAGGGGGTTTAGGCTCTTTGCATCTCGTGTCCATGCTGATTGCTGCACCAGAAGCAGAGCACATCCCCCCCAACCCCCTCCCTTCACCCCAAGCCTCCCAGCCCCAGCACGCAGTCAGGGCTTTGTGGTGTGGGGAGATGAGCTGAGAGCTGCGCAGCTCTTGAAAACAGAAAACAATTAAATCTGAGCCCTTTACCGAGTTAACTACGGACATGAATAATGCAATCAGAACGTCAGTTCCCCAGGAGTGCTCGGATCTGAAATTGAATTTCTGCCGGGCGGTGGGGAAGGAAGGTTCGCTGCTTCTGCCCCGGTGTGAGGGAAGGGGGGGAAGTGGGTTCTGCTTCCCATCCTCCAGCAGGTGGTAGCACGCTGCAGGCTCCGCATCCCCAGCTCTGCCATGTCCCAACCCTGTCGCCGTCCCCAGCTCTTCCTTGGCCCCAGCCAGAGCTGCTGCGTTGTGCCCATGCATTGTCGGATGCTGCGCCTTCCAGCCTGGCAAGAAAACCACGACCCTTATCCATCTCTGTGTCACCTGTGTCACGCTGCCTGGGGAAGGCACGGAGCGCTGAGAGCTGTTATCCCATCCCCATGATGATGCGGGAGGGAGACAGGAAGGGCAAAGCGTCTCTTCCAGCTCTGCAGCGCTGTGTGATGGTCTGCAGCCCGTTTCGGAAGGATTGGAAACCTCTTTTTCTCCCAACCCTGCAAGCATTTGTTCCCTGCCCGTCTCTATCTGTGGTCTGGCACCTCCCTCTGCATGCAGTGTCTGTGGCAACGCAGCGCTGGGGCTGAGCGCTGGTCCTGAGCCCAACAGAGCTGGCTGGCAGTGAGGGCAGCCCGAGCACAGCCTGCATCCCAGATGCGCGACCCCGCACCGTGAGCACGAGATCCCCGCTGCTTTCCTTTTGCTGCAAACCGGGAGATCCGTGAGCCCTCTGTGGTTTTGCCCATCGCTGCAGCCCCGCTTTTACCCCAGCACCGCAGAGCTGCTCCCCCCCTCCCCTCCCCTCCCCTCCCCTTTTCTTTTTTTCTTTTTTTTAGCTGCAGGGAACTGCTGGTCCCAAGCAGAGCGTGCGGGCAGGGCTGGCCCCGCTCCAGCTTTCTTTGTTATCTCCGGGGAACTCAACCATTTCTGCTCCTTGTTTACCTCCCGTTGTACATGGGTGGAGGAAAGGTAAACACCAGCCTTTTGTTCACCAGCTCTTTTTCCTTGAGCCTCTTCCTCCTCTCCCTGTCTTCATCCACTTTCCCCCACCCCCACCCCCCACCCGCACTACAGTGCTGAGCCCCAAAAACATCCACAGTGTTGCCATTCCCCCTCCCCAATGCTGCCCCAGCCCAGACCCCTCCCTTGGAGGATCCTTCATGCTCCATTTGCTGGGCCCAGTTGCTTCTCCCAGATCTGTCCCTGCACTGGGCAATGGGCTGCTGTTCTGAGCAACCCATTCCCAAGTGAAAGCCTGCAGTTTGTCAGAGCTCCCCACCAGGCAAGAGTGAAAATCAAAGTGTCTGCCCTGCCAGGGAGCACTCACATGGTAGAGGGGCACATTGGGGAAGCCAGGCCGTGTAGAGAAAGTGCAAAAAGCTTTCTGAGAGGGAACTGTTGCCCTCCCAGATCCTGAGCACCTTCTCCCTCACTACGTTTACCAGAGCTGGATGTTGGCCCTTGGTTTGTCCTACACTTTTATCAGCTCACAGTGTGGATGCAGAGGGAGCTGAGAACTCCCACCCTTTTCATGGTGCTTGGCTGCCACGATCGACATAGAATGATCTCACCAAGCCAGGCTTTCACTTTTGATGATTATATCCAGCCCTGTGCTGCTGCTATGGGCTGTTTACAGGAGAGAACAGAGCCCTTCTGCCTCCTAGCAGCATCCCTGGGGCAGGAGGAACCACTGCTGGCCCCAACCATGCCCCGTCCTGTTTGGAATAGCTCTGTCTCCAAGGCTGTCAGTCCACGTGGCACCTGTCTGGAGCTCATCCTCCTGCTCTGAAGATCTCCTGCCCTCCCCCTGCGGGTTGCAACGATGCTCTCTGGGTTCTGCTGATGATTTTGCCCCTGGCGTCCCCAGCACCACCCGGGCCATATCCTACCCAGGCGCTAGAGAAACGTGTGACAAGTGGCACTGCCTTCCTCCACTCCTTCCAGCCACGATATTAAACCACTTAATGCACTCAGCGAGTCCTTGAGCTCTGAGCCGTCTTGGAGTGCTGTTGGCTTTGTTCAGCTCTTTGATGAGCTCGAGAGCTTGGAGGGGGGGCAAAGCACCGGGGCTGACAGCAGGCTCCACTCCGTGCTCTTGCGGTTCTCCGGGAGGGAGGGAAGCGGGGGCACCACGGGGCTGCGGTGTTCGGTCCACTCCATTCACGGTCCCGGTTACGGCTACACGGCGGAGTGTCCCGGGACCGGGGGACATGCCGGGTCATGAACGGCAGAGTTGGGTCCCGACCTGACTCGTCCCGGTGCTCAAGGCTTCTCTGCGTCTCCCAGCAGCATCACTCGGGGTGCCCGGTACGGTGCTGGAAATCTAGGGGCGCAGCGCTCGGAGGATTACGGCGGCGGCGCGGCGGGGAGCGGCGGGGCCGTATAAAAGCGCGTCCGCTCCCGCCCGGGTCTGCGGCGGCGGCTCCGGTCCAGGTGCGGCAGCGGCTCCAGCAGCGGAAACGGCAGCTGCCCGGTGGGCGGCACGGCCCGACTCGGCACAGCTCTCCGTGCGTCACGGCCGCCCCGTCCCATCGCTCCCAGCTCTCGGGTCCGGTAGCTTCGCCGTGCGCCGCGGGGTCCCGGGGCGGTGGGTTCCGGTGACCGTCGGTGCAGGCTGTTCCTTCCCGATCCCCGTCTCGGGGCTGGCGTGTCTCGATCGCGACGTCCCGCGGCGCGGTCCGGTCTTTCCCCGTCCGTTATCCCCGGGGCCGGATGGTCCCGGTGCCCCGCAGCGCGATCGAGTCCTTCCTCCCCTCCCCTTGGTGTCGGTCTCCCCCGGCGCGCCCCTTCCCTTCCCCATCCCCGTTTCCATCACCCACGATGCTTGCGGCTCCCGGTTCCCGGTGACAGCGTTTCCGATCGTTATCTCTTCCAGCCCTGCACCCGGCGGCAACATGTGGCTCCTGGAGAGGCTGCGCGGCATGGCGGAGAGCAGCAGCGCACGGGGCTCGGGGCCGGACGATTCCCCACGGGGCTCCCGCTATAGCAACGTCCTCACCCCCGATAAGATCCCCGACTTCTTCATCCCGCCCAAGCTGAGCGCTGCACCCGCTGAACCCGAAGGTACCGAACCCACCGCGCCTCCCGTCCTGGGTCCATCTGTCTCGGAGCAGGACCTGACGGACCGCAAGACCCCACGCAGCCCCCGGCCTCCCAGCCGACCCCGTGCGAAGGCATCCGGCCGGCACATCATCCAGATCGAGAGCGCCGAGGACTGGACAGCTGAGGGAGGCTTCGGCACCAACGTGGACCCGCAGGCGCAGACAGCCATGTCTCTGCCCTACGTGCCCAAAGCGCAAACCTCGTACGGTTTCGCCACGCTGGTGGAGAGTCCCCACACCCGACGTAAGGAATCGCTCTTCCATAGCGAACACAGCAGCCTCTGCCCTTCGCCGGCCACCTCCCCCAGCGCCCAGCGCAGGGCAAAGCTCAACGGTGAGAGCAGAGCTCAGGCTCCTGCCGACCTGGGGGCGGCCCTCATGCATCCCGGCCGCTATTTCAGCGGTGGTGAAAGCGACACGTGCTCTTCAGCCGAGTCTTCACCCTTCGGCTCACCCCTCCTCTCCCGCTCCGTCTCTTTGCTAAAGATCTTCAGCCAGGAAAGCCAATCTAAGGTCATCAAGCTGAAGCACTCGGTGGCTCGCAACAGCTCTCTTTCAACCGATGACAGCTCAGCCGACACCAGTCCCAGCGCCCAGCGTCGTTCCAGGAGCGCTCCGGCCGGGGGACAACCGGCAGCGGGCACGGAGCTGCCGCAGGGTCGGCCCCGTGAGCACAGCCTGAGGCTCAGCAGGGGCGGCCGCCTCCGTCTGACTGCTGATTACGACCCTTCCAACGCCCGGCTTCGCGTTCAGCTCATCTGCGCCGAGGATCTCTACGACGCTCTGGTCGATGTGCGTGGTATCCACTGCTGCGTTTCGCTGTGCCTCAACCCGGGGAAGCTGCAGAAGCAACGCAGCACCATCATCAAAAACAGCCGCAACCCTGTCTTCAATGAGGACTTCTTCTTCGATGGGCTGGGTCCCAGCCACGTCAGGAAGCTGTCCCTCAAGCTGAAGGTGGTCAACAAAGGCAGCAGCCTGAAGCGGGACACGCTGCTGGGGGAGAAGGAGCTCCCGCTCAGCGCCCTGCTGTAGGCTCAGCAGCCCTGCAGGGAGCGTGCCCGTGGGGCTGGGGCACGGGAGGGCTTGGGCCAGCCCTGGCCCCTCTGAAATAGGGCTTGGAAGGGCCCCCAGAGGAGGGCCAGGGCTGTGGCAGAGCTCAGGGATGCAGGGCCAGGTCCCCAGGAGCGGAGCTGCCGGATGCAGCCCTCCTGTGCCAGCCTCTCCCTTCTGTTCCAGCTCCCTGCCCGGGGCTGCAGCTCCTGGAGCACAGCAGGAGCCACCTGCCCTGTCCCTTTCAGATGGATGGATGTCACCTGCTGGGCTCTTCCCTTTCTGGTTTCCATGGTCTCCAGCTGGCCAGCACGAAGGTTGGAAGCGGGTAGAGCTCTGCAGCATGCTTATTGCCACCTCTCTCCAAGCCTTAGCTCCTAGAGTCAGATGATGACATCGACCTTGGCTTTCATTTAAAAGTCAAGCTTTGTAGTCTTGGAAACTGCAGAGAAAATGCTGCAGAGGTGACCCAGGAACCTGGTTGGGGTCTCTGGGAGGTGGCCCCATGGCTGACTCACACCTGTGGTCTTTCTGAGTCCCTTCCTGGGACCACATAGAGTGTGCAGGTCAGCTTTACCTGACACCCCGCAGCCTCTGGGATGCCCTCCTGTCCTGGTCCCCCCAGATACTGACCCCTCTCCCCTCATGGATAACAGCTGCAGGAACTTCAGAGGCATTTGGATGCATTCAGACAGATGCTGATAGGGGCTGGTACTGCTGCTGGGGGGCACATGGCCATGGGGGTGAGCATGCATGCTGGGGTAACATCCCAGCAGACCCCAAGCAACAGGAGCAGCACCCCCTGCCTTCCCAAGTGCTCATGGCTGTGTACCTGCATGGCACTGGGGATGGGTGGCACCAGAGAAGGTGGCAGGCTGGGATCCAAGCTGCCCTCCCCAATTCTGCCCTCTCTGAGCACTCATGGGTGAGGGGCTTGAAAGCTTCTGCACCCCCCTACCCACCCACCCACAGGGAGATGCATGGCCCTGGGGTCAGAAAGCCCCTATACCTGGTGGGACCCAGTCCCCAAATAGGGCTGTGTTGGCAAATTGATTCCCTGCACTGCCCAGAAACACCAGAATGGGGGGAAATCCAGGCTGGGGTATCTGCAGGTGGCTGAAACAGCCACTTTTGTTGTTGTTTGGTGTGATGTTACCTGCATGGTTGGTTTTTTTTTTTATGTGAAAAGGAGCAGAAATAGCATTGCTCCTCTCTGCCCTCTTCCAACACGTGTGGACACACGCACATGTGTCCCTCTGTGTCAACCTCTGTTGGTGACGGTTGATGTTCCTTCCTTGTCCTTTGCAGCAGATGGCAGATTTCAGTGTTGGCTATTTATATCCGAGGCTGATCTTTCCCAGCGTGTTTTACTTCTGTCTGTAAATATGTTTCAGGTATACGAGGCATGGTTCTGGTGCTGTTTGCATGTTGGGGGGTGGGGGGTGGGGGGGGAGTTGGGATGATCGTGGCTGTTTGTTTGAGCTTGTGGCTGAAAACAAACCGTGCAGGACGTGAGGAACAGACACATCCCTTTGCCACAGGGGATTTCCCACCTGCTGCTCCCCATTGCTTTCCCCAGGAACAACCAAGGGCTGCCCATCCCTGTTTTTTCCTCCATCCCCTGGCATTGGGGAGGTGGGGGGGGGAAAGGGGTGAACTCAGCACCAAGCAGAGCTTGGGAATAGGGGACACCCAGCTGGTGGCCAGGAGCTGGGGGAGGATCAGTGCAAAGGTTTCAGTGCTCATGAAGGGCTGGGGATGCCACAGCTCCTCCACGGTGGGGCTGTGCTTTGTTTCTTTGTGTTTTGGGGGTGGGTTGGGAGGCTGAGAGCAGAGCTCTTTGGCTCCATGGGGGGAATTGAGGGCTAGGAGTTTGTGCCATCCCCTCCCTCATCTGTCCCAGGTCTCTGGGATTTGCTGCTGTGATGGATGGGAGGGTGGATGCGGAGTCCTGGAGGGATCCTTCCTCCTTGTAGCCCTTTTCTAACGTTCCTGCTTTATGTGGCTGGATTTAACAATGCATTTTTTTTGTTTTGGAGTTAATATATATATATATACACATATATATTCATTAATGGAATGTTTGTTTACAGATGACTTCCCCTTTTTAGTGCAATAAAGTCTTTCTAAAACAGATGCAAATGGTACCCAGCTCCTGATGCTCCCTTGCTTTCTATCATCCCTTGCTTTCTATCATCCCTTGCTTTCTATCATCCCTTGCTTTCTATCATCCCATGTGCTGCTGACCCCCTGTGATGGGAAGCAGTGGGGACAGCCTTCCTCCCCCTTCCCCCCCCCACCCTCCAGTTGTTCCAGGCCAGCAGCTTATTCTGCTTTCTTCTTTTCTTTCCCTGCCTTCCATCTCTCAACCCACTTCTAACAAGCAGCTGCTGAAGCAAAGAGGGAGGTTTGCCTGCAGCCTAAATGCCATTTTTCTAATTTCCACCATACTAATAATTTGTCATTTTTAGTCGAAATAAAGAATAGGAACACTAAACAGATCCGCCCTCCTTCCTCCTGGCCCCACAGGGCACAGAAAGCAGCGTGGTGAGAACTTGGCAGGTGCCAGGAAATTAAAGTAGTTTTGGGTTTTGGTTTGTTTTTTTTTTTCTTTTAGAGGTGTAAAAGCCACAGCAGATAGCAATAAAACGAGCCTGATTAAGTTAGTTTGAAATAGGGTGGATGGGGTCAGCTTGAAAACACTAAAAATCCCTCAAGTGCTCAATATGCAAAGCATGGGAAACAGTCAGAAGGGCGGCTGGTGGGGGAAGATTTAGCTCTGAATTCCTAATTGAGTTGTTAGAGGAGAGATATGCAGCTTCCAGAGCTTGAGGTTAAACCTTGAGCAGAGGCTGGGCTGCAATGAGCCCCTCTGCACTGCAGGCTGTGGGATGGGAGTCCAACCAGGACCCAGTGATTACCTGGGATAATTGGGGTCCTGGTGGTTACCTTCCCTTGCAGATATTTGGGTGCTGTTGGGGTTAGCCTCACGACACCCCCTGCTCTGACAAAGCTGCTGATTTACCATTTTGGTTACAAAAAAAAAAAAAAAAGAGCTTCTTTCTGTTGCTTGGCAACATCTTGGCTGCCTGGTCCGGTTTGCGGGGGTTGCAGGGCTCTATGGGGCTGCCCCAGCTGCAGTCTGATCCCGAGCATCACTCCCAGGCTCTGAGCAGCTGGTGTGGGAGCAGTGCTGCCTTGGTGGGCGCGGGGCAAAATGCACCCACCTTGCAGCTGTGTGTGAGTATCGGCCTCCCTCCGGCTTGCACAAGCTCCTCATCTTTATTGCAAGCATTTGTCTTCCGTGGCAGCATGTCTGTATTAAAGCAGGGAGAGAGACTCCCACTGTTAGAGGGAGGAAAACAGGAGTTAATTGAATCCCACAATTCCTCATAGTCACATCAGGTGAAAGAGAAAAGCCAGAGGCAAACGTTTTGGCCATGTTGGCTCTGTGCCCTGTGGGGTTTGGGCTCCTCGAGCCATGAGGACATCAGGCTGTGAGCATCTCAAGCCATGGGGACACCAAACCCTGGGGGGGGGGGTCCTACTGGTAATAGGGACAACCTGAAGCTCTTTTCCAGCCCTGTGGCATTTGCAGGTTTGATGAGATCCAGCACAGAAGCAGCAGCTTGCAAGCTTTCCCCAGCTGTGCTGCTGTCACTGCAGCCCCAGGGCTCAGGCTCAGGTTGTTTTGCTTTTCCACATGAGCTTTGCTCTCATGTTTTGAAGCTGACACGCTGACGTGGACCTGGAGCCGTGGGATGGATCCTAACTCAGCTTTTCCCATCTCCTCTGGAGGAATTTGGCAGAGGAAATGAATGCATCCCAAAACCCAAGTGTGGATTGGTTGGGTCACACACAGCTGCAGGACTGGCAAAACCCCCAAAAATCTGTGCTGGGAATGAGTGTGGTTATAGGGATGGATGAGGGAAGGGGCTGAGGATGTGGTGTAAAGCTTCTCTCCCAGCCTTTCCCCTCTGGACCGGTTCATTTCTAGCTCCCTGCTGGAGTTTTCAATGCTCCTTCTGACAGGTTTGCAAAATGCCCAACGTATGAAGCAAGCCCAGGTGGGAGGGGAAACAAATGGCAAAAACAAAGCAGACAGGAGGACTCGTTCAACTCTGCTGGCCAACGTTTTAATATCAGTTCAGACAGGCATCAATCGATACGGCAATTTGGGGCTGCTGGCTGAGCTCCGTGCTTTGCCCATGGGCTGAGAGTTGTGTTACAGCTCTGGGTGTTGGGTACAGACTGGGGGGAGTCCTTGCTGGGTGCCACGGGGGGGATCAGACTCTGAGTTCTTGGTTTCTTGAAAGGCAATGTGGCTCTGACCCACACTGAAGCATGATGAGGACGTGGGGCTGCATCCACCATCACAGCTGGATCTGCCCCCCAGCATGGGCACTGTCTGGGGATTGCACTGGACACGCCAGAAAGAGCATCAGCCTGGCTCCATCGCCATGGCAATGCAGATAATGGAGGCTGCTGGCAGGAGGGGAGGGCTGGGAGCCCTGGGCTGTGCTCACCCCATGGATGTGCCATGGCCACGTTCAATAACAGCCCTCTCACCTGAGTGCTTGGGGCTGCCCAAAGCTGGTCTTGGAGCAGAGGCAACCACATCTCACCATACTGAAGCTCCTTGCTTCAGGATAAAGCCAGAGGTAGCGCAGGGCAACATGTAAATATACAGAAACACGTCTATTCAAACCCTCAAATCTCACTGCTGCCAGGTTATAATTAATTCCTATTTGCAGCTCAGTCCAATTTCCTTCACGCAGCCTCCCAATTCAATCCAATTGCCGTATGAGATTTCTGTAATCACTAATCTTATCATGTCCATCAGCGTGAAGTGAGAACGCTGCAATTAGCAGCGCTGGGAGCAGAGCCGTGTGGAGCAGCAGGTGATGTGCTGCTCCATGAGTATTTACTTCACCTGTGCCAGGGAAAAGATGGTGCTTGGCCAGGGTTATGCTGGGGCTGTCCTTTTTCTATTTCCACCCTGGCTCTGGCTGCAGGAGCTCGTACAGCAGTGAAATGATGAAATGATGCTGGCCTGGGAAACGGACTCAGCTCCTCAGCATCAGGGCTGCTCCTGCCTCACTCCTCCCCATAGCTGAGCCTTCTCCTGCCAGCTCCCAAAGGGGAACCTGAGGTTCAGCAGAGCAGTGCAAGGATGCGCTGAGATGCATCCTACTTAACCCAGGTCTCTCCATACCCCCCCTTTATCCCAGGACTGCCTCCCCCTCCCCTCATAACCAAGAGTCAGCAGGGCTGCCCTCTAGAAATGCAACGCCTGGATGCCGACGCTGAGCCAAGAAACGTGACGTTGATGCCGGCGAAGTGTCCTTAAACAGAACCATCTGCGCCGCTCTTTGTCACAACAGTAGGAGTTATAGATGAAGTGTCAGCCTGCGTGCTGGATTTCCTGGCTCCGTTCACCACCACTCCCTTTCACAGCCCAACTCGAGCTCTGTTCGCTCCGTTCCCGAGCAGACGGAGGCTCAGTCTTCAGGGGCAGCAGGAAGCTGCTCGCATCCCGCCTGCCCTCCCACGGAGTGCTGCCAGCCTTTTGCCAGTTGTGCACATAGAGAGAAGAGGCCTCTCGTGCTGCTGTGACACCCCAGGAGGGTTGAGTTGGGCTAAGATATGAGCTCACCCACCCTGCTGTGAGCATGGGGACACCCAGCTCCCCGTCCCCTTTGAGCTGGCCCCATCTCCAGGGTGCAGTTCGCGGGGGATTCCGTTCTGCATAGTGCCTGTTTTGTGGACAATCTGTTCTCCTCCCACCAATGTTGGCTGCCTGCCTGCTGCTTGCTCCCGGCAGAGGCGTCGTGCGATGGGATCAGAGCTGCTCCCGCAGGTGCCTCGAAGCCATGGGGTCCCTTTCTGAGCCTGTCTGGATTTGGGGAGCAGCCGCTTGCCTTGGCACTGGGGAAGGAGATGCCCAGCGAGGTTGGTGGGGCTCACACAGGTCTGATTTTAAGGCACGTTCAGGAGCACCCTAGGGTGCTTCAGGGTGCACTGAGTGGCTCACTGAGGCTTCTGGGGTTACCTACAAAGAAGCTCAGGTGCCCCAGGTTGCTCTGGAGGATTTAAGAGGGTGACAGGCTGACACTTCATCTGTAACTCCTACTGTTGTGGCACAGTGGTTCTGTTTCAGGACACTTCACCAGCATCAACATCACATTTCTTGGCTCACTGTCAGCATCCAGATGCTGAGTTTCCAGAGGGCAGCCCTGCTGACCCCTGGCTGTTTATGGGGGTGGGGGGGGGGGTAGTCCTGGAATAGAAGGGGTAGCAGGAGTACTGGGTTATGGGGGTCACATCTCAGCGCTTCCTTGCATTGCAGCATCTCTGCTGAGCCTCAGCTTCCTCTCTGGGAGCTGGCGGGTGAAGGCTCAGCTGGGGTGAGAAGCGAGGCAGGAGCAGCCTTGATGCTGGGGAGCTGAGCTCATTTCCCAGGCCAGCATCCTCTCGCTGCTCTCCGAGGTCCCGCAGCCAGAGCTCGCCTTGAAGGCTCTAGGACGCAACGAGGAGCTCTGGCAGCACTCCGTGCATCGGGTGCGCGCTTTGGGAGCACAGCGTGCAGCGGGTGCGCGCATTGCTGCCTTTACCTTTACAACAGGGCAGCGTTACGCGCACGGGGCGGGCGGCTCTCGCTACGTCCGTACGGCGCTGAGGAGCCCGACAGCGCCACCTGCTGGCAGCGCCGAAGCACTGCAGGCAACGGGAAAGCCCGCTCATACGCATGCGCAACGCCACGTGGAGCGCCCGTCCCCGTGGGCACCGGCAGCGTGGAGCGGTTCCGCCGTGGGCAACGGGAATGAGGAGCCGCAGCGGTACGTTCCCGGGGCTGGGTGGGTAAAGGGGAGGTGAAGGGTTAGGAAATGAATGGGGAAAAGCATTGGGGATCGTAAGGCGGTAGGAGAGCTGCTCAGCTTGGCTGGGGATGCGGGCATGGCTTCGCGGAGGGGGTTTTTTTGGGGTCACGCTGCCTCTTTGCTCTCTTCTTTTTGCTAACGTAGCATTGTAGCAGCGTGCATTTGTATTTTATAGGATGGATTGGCTGCAGGTGGTTCCGGGAGAGGGACTGGTGAGGTTGGGGGGCTGTCAGCATTTGGCATCACAGCACAGTGAACGTGGAAGCAAAGAGCTGTGGGACAATCAGGGGGGTGAGGCCAGGCTGGAAGGCACAGCAGAGCAGTTGCTGCTTCCACAAACAGCTCACGAGAAGAAGGAATGCCTATGGGGTAAGGTGTACCAAATTGAGGTGATGGAGGGGGTTGCTCACCAATTCATGCAGCACAGCATCATCCTGAGAAGAAGCACAGAATGAGGTGTCCAGCCACGGTTGCCTAGGGGGAAATGAGCAATACGAGGCCATGAGAGTGCCTGCATTGGAATTCACAGCAAGTTGCTCTGAGTGTTTGATAGAATGCATTGCATAGCACATAGGGTACCTCAGAGCCAGTGGGATGCACCTCTAGGGTGCAATGGGGAGCCTCTACAGCACCCAAAGAATGCTGAGATAGGCTGGGAGTACACTAGGATGCCTTAAAGCCAGCCCTCAAAGCCCCCAAATCTCTCCCAAACTCCACCCTGATGTGGTTTCTGCAGAGGTTGAGGGGATGCATTGTTCTGAGAAAACGTTATTTTTAAGTATAGCCCAAGGTTGGATGAGCCCAGGGCTCCCAGCTAAGCTCAGCATCACTTTATAATGAATGCACTCAGCATCCAGCAACCCCAGAGCAGGATTGATGGCACAGTGCCTTCCTTAGAGCTCACATCCATCCTGCTGGGATAGGACAGCCTGGTGTCAGGATAACTGTGGGATCTGTTCCATGAGGAGCTGCCAGAGCCTGGACACACACAGGAGTTAAAGCTGAGCAGGAGAAATCAGAAGAGAATAGGCCTGTAAATGTAAAGTGCCATTTATTATTATTTCTCCATGATGAAAATATTAAACAAAACAAAACAAAAACCAACCCAACAAAACGCTCAATATGATTTTCCCTTCCAAAACCCCAAGTGAAACAAGCCACAAATAACCCTAACACTTCACGAATTGTTCATCTCCCCCACTTTGCACCTAAGGGGCAAAAAAAAAACCAACAGCAACTGCCTGGTGCACTTTAGTGCCAGCCTCCTGCCCCAGCTGGGCAATGGGGAAGGGGCTGTGATTGGGGTTAAGAAGACAATTCACTTCCTGAAGAGTGAGTACCAGGCCTGCCCCACCAGGGGAGCATCCATGGGTCCCTTAGCAAACTGCAAAGGGAAAACCAAAGCAATAAATCCAGAAGCAAGGAGGCTCACCCCCCTCCCCCAGGAGGAGATGGGGCTGTAAGGCATAGTCAGCCCTGAGGGGATGGAGGTGAATGCATGGTGATGGCTCAGCCCTGACATCAAGAGCCTCATTCTTCCTAAGGCAGAAGGGAATGCAGCAGCCCAGGCTTGGGGTAAAGAGTGTGGAGGGCACAAAGCAGCCTTTGGAAAACTATGGAGTCTTGGAACAACATGAGAGGACCCCACCACCACCACAACCAGCAAGATCCAGACCTGGCCCAGCCCCTCCATGGGGGCAACTGCCACCAAATCCACACTGCCAGACCCCCAGGCCTTGGTTTGGGAAGGTGGGGGGACAGCTGGAGGCTAGAGGGGCTATAGGACTGCTCTGCAATGCAAGGGGATGGATAGGGTGGATGTGGAGCATCTGCTCTCTGTGCACCCAAGCCTGCCTGCAGGAGGGTCAGCAGAGCCCACCAGCTGCCCTGCACACCTTTCCCATCTGATCCTTGAGCTCAGCCTGCACTCAGCAGATGAAAACAATTCATCAGAATGGGCTGTAAAGCAACCTGATTAACAACAGAAGTAAAACCACATGTGCCTCCCTCTACCCATAGGCCAGCTGGACCAAAGGAGAGTCCAGCTCTAAGCAATGCCACAGCTTTGTGGCACAGCACCTGCCATGGTTGGACATCCTCTGAGGTTTCTCACCTTCTGGCAGCACTGATTTCTTCACTCCATGCTCTTAGTCCAGCTGAGGAGCCCAGAAGCAAAGCCCCCTCCCCAAAGCCATATGCCCATCCACAGCCATATGCCCATCCCTTGCCACCATCTCACACACACATACACCACTGCACACACTTTTTTTTTTAAACCCAAGTGAACATGTTTCCAAAAAAAAAAAAAAAAACAAAAAAAAANNNNAAAACCAAAAAAAAAAAAGAAAAAAAATTAACATAAGCAGCACATTTCCCAATTGTCAAGAGCTCCAAGCTGGAGCAAGAGGCCCAGGACACCCCCAGAACAACAGAAACCAAGCCCACATTTGCTTGGGATGGAGGGAAAAGGGGAGGCAGCTGATTAACATTTCCAAGTGATGGTGTTTTGCCGGTGGGATGCGAGGTGAGAAAGGGTTGGGGAGAAGGAAGAAGGGCAGTTCTGTTGTGTACTGAAGGACAGGGAATGGTGACAGAGGCAGATGTACTGACAGCAGGCGGCTCGGCCATCACACGGCAGCACGGGTGGGTGTGCTGGGCTGGTTTAACCTCAATGTTTTGCAGAGCCAGCCGGCGAAATCTACCTCCTCCACTTCAGAACGCTTGATGAAGGTGTGATTCTGCAAGGGAAGCAAAGCAAGGTTAGGAAGGCACACTGTTAGCATGCAGCCAGGTTGCTCCCTGCAGTGGGGGTTTCCACCTCCAGCACAACACTGCAATCCCTGGCCCTTTCTCAGAGCTTTGGGGAGGTTTATACTGTTGGTTGGACTCCAGCAAGGCCAATGGATCCAAGGCCATAGCTTGAGCTGCTTTCAGGCCAACACAGTGGATCTGGAGAGTAGTTTTCCTAAATGTTTGCTACTTACAGCCCTCTGGCTGGGTTTTAAAGTCAGTGCATTTTGTGCCTGGCCATGAAACTCTCAGGACATGCAGAAGAGCTGAGGTGCAAAGCTCGTGTGCTGCATCCCCAGAGCAAACCTAAATGCTGTGGTGGAGGCAGGACAAGCCTGGTGTAGGATCAGAGCTACAGATCTTGAGCTCAGCCTGGTACCAGTTTGCTCCCAGAGAGCAAACCTTAATCCCCCAGGGTGACCACAAAACAAGGACAAGGAACAGGGACGTAAGGATGTGGGATGCTGCTTTTGCAAGGGAGAGTGGGGGGCAGCCAGCACTAGGCTGAGGAAGAAAAGTGAGGTTCACAGGGATAAACTGAGCTCTTCTACCCTGCTCAAGAGGCAAAGGTTTATCCCAGGCACCTTCACAGACATGGAGAGGTGCTGGAGACATCAGGTTCCCATCCTGGGCTCTGCTGGGGAGGGGCAGCAGGCTCTCAGGAGTTAGATGACATCACTGCCTTTGAGACAAAAGTAAGTGAGTCACTTGTCTCCCAGGCTGGACTTGGTTCTCAGGCTCAGCCTGAGAGGGCTGAGTTGCCAGCCTTTAGAGCAAGGGTGGCTGGAAGGGATAGGATGAGGCAGCAGCTTGCAGATCTGGTGCCACCCAGTGTAGGAAGAAGATTGCTCTTCCCATTTACCATCAGCATCTTCAAATCTGCCCGTTCCGCTGGATTCTTAATTAAGCTGAAATGAGAAGAACAAGAGAGCAAAGGCAGCAGTGAGACACTTCTTGTAAGAAGCTGCTTATCTGTCTGGAGAAGTCTCCAGCTTCACTAAAACCACGTTGCCTCCTGTCTGCCTTCTCCAGACCAGCAGTATGGATGATGCTCAGATAGTGGTGTCTGCAGCTCCAGCACCCTGGACTCTAGGCAGAGCTGCAAGATCCACCATTTCTGAACTGCATGGACAAAGTATGTAACCATCTGCAGAGATTAATGGTTTTGTAACATCCAGTCTCTATTTTAGTGGAGACAGCAGCAGCATCCCCATCATGTTCCCAGGGTCAGGAGGTCTTGAAGTCAGTGGTGTTTGCAGGGTGCCTGCAAGGTTGTGGGGCAAGCTGCAGAGAATAACTACAAATAAACCACTTTTATTCCAGCCCTTCCCAAGGCAGAAGTTCCTAGCACAGTGCAGGACCTTGCTGCAGCCAAGCCAGAGCAGGGAGATTACCAACAGAGAACAGACAACCCTCATGCTGCATATTTTGAGTGGGAAGGCAGCCTGCTGAGCTGCCAGTGAACAGATACAGGTCTCCACGTTCAGTCACAAACAGAAATCCTTACCATTTATTTACAAACTCCTGGAAATCTTGCGTGAAAACTCCATTTGGCAACTTGGGAGGTGGCTGCAGAGAGAGGAAAAAGGGTTAATGGGTCAAAAGGTAAATGCCTTAGAGCACAGCTTTCAGTTGCTTCCTTCCCATTCTATCAGTGGCCAACAGGACTTTGGAGCAGTTTGAGGGGCTGCTATCGATAAGCCCCTGTCAAGCAAAGGTTTTTGAGCCTACTTTGACCTTTCAGAGTGGACACAACAACCAACCCAGCCTACAGCAATGCAATACTCACCTCATTAACTATATAGTCCAGCAGTTCAAAAATGGCCATTGCAGGTCGGTTGTCCATTCCATGGCCTGTGTGGTTAAGATGAAAGAAATACTGGTGAGAAGCTGTTCAGACTCATTTCACACAAAGAAAACCCACACTGAGACTTTTGTTGGGAGAAGCAGAAAGCACCAACTTGGGAATTAACCCACTGTTAAAAGAAAAAAAAAACCAAAAATCACCTCCTAAGCTCCCCATACAAGACCAGAACCCCACAGGCTCTCAGAATTAGAAACCCCCACAGCAGAGCTGTGTTCTCCTACAGCACAGACATAGCTCTGTCTGCATGAAAGAGTGAGATGAGAACCCTCCCTCCCCACAACCTCATTCACAACAGCTTTTGCTAACCCAGCCACACTGATAGAACCCATCCCCTTGCCCCCATGCCTGCATGTTGCATCTAAAGCCCATGGCAGCCCCTCCAAGGCCCATGGCAGCCCCTCCAAGGCCCATGGCAGCCCCTCCAAGGCCCATGGCAGCCCCTCCAAGGCCCATGGCAGCCCCTCCAAGGCCCAAGGCAGCCCCTCACCACTGATGGGGCGTCCTGGGGGCCTGGCCCGTGGCGAGATGCTGTGAGATTCTCCTTCTGCTCCATCTACCATAGGACGGCCAAATATTGCTTCCAGTTCCTTGGAGTCTGGTGGGGGTATTGGGTACCTTCCAATAGAAAGCTCCACCAGTGACAGACCCATGCTCCAAATGTCGGACTGGACTGAGTAATGAGTGCCCTGCAATCGCTCAGGCTGGAAGGAAAAAGAACACAGACAACACAGTGGTAAGAAATTTGAAGCATCCTCTCTATGAGCAGGTTGTCCTTCAAGCAGACAGCACTCCTGATGCCTGCCAGAAGCACTGATATCTGCAGAAAAAGCATTTCTGGGGGGTGGGGGAATTCCCAAGTCACAGCAAACACAAAGCACTTGCACACATCTAACCAGCAGATACAGCTGAGCAGCCTTTGCAGTTGCTTATACTCTGGACTTCTGAGTATAAAGTATTCCTCAGTGAGCTGAGATCTCAGTTTTGTTGTCAAAATGTTTTATTCTTCTGTTTATTAATATCTGCGAGCAATCTGAGGAGCAGAAAATCCTACTGTGATGAAAAGGCTAAGAAATAAATAAACCAATGCAAGCCATCCATACTGGTAGCTTTGTGTGAGCTGTGCAGACCCAACTGAGTGCAGAGGGAACACCACCCTTAAATACATCATCTAACTATAACTCTACTTAAATAACCATTCCCAAAAATACGAGAGGAGCTCAGACCTAAGTACAGAAGCACCAGCAGCTTTGCTTACAAAGCTACTGCCTGCTTACAGCTGCAGCCACATGGTGTGGACAGCAGACATGCATCTTCTTTGCTATCTAGACAGAGGACCAGAGCCAGCCTGAAGGAAATTTCATGCTTACAGCAGCCTGTTATAGACACAGGGCAGAGTTTCACTGGGCAGAGGAGTCTGCATGATGCCTCTTGCTGCACTGTGTCACTGCCACTACACCAGGCTGGATAGAAACCATTAGCCAAAGTGTGTCACAATCTGTGGTTTGGCACATCTGCAGCCCAGGGCCCATAGATTATGACTTTCATTTTGAGGCATAATCTGCTCTTTTTGCAGTTTTCCTCCAGTTTGGCTCTGTTTTCCAGCAGTTTCCACCAACCCCACCTGCATTAGACTGGCTAACACCCCTGCCAACAACTGCATGTGGTTGAAGGAGGGAGGCTGTCAGCACAGGTCCCCTCTCCACAGTTTCTTGGACAAGCTTTGCATACAAAAAGAAGTTTTTTGAACCCACAAACAGTAGCTGAAACAGAATGAAAGCATCCATAGGATGTGGATATCTTCCTTTGCACATCTTGTACTTGTTCCTATTGCATGGAGAAGCAATAAGCCCCCCAAGTCCAACCTTCAGCATGGAGAAGCAATAAGCACATATGATCAGATCCAAAGAGACCACAGTCCCAGAGAGGGCAGAAATGCAGAGGAAAACTGTAAACAGCTTGGACAGAACACTGATTCTATACGAGTGGTTAACCCTACCTGCATCCAAGCTGAACCCAAATTGTAAAAACCCACTAAAAAGTTGAACTTACAGACATGTAGGACCGAGTTCCCACAAAAGAGTTTGCCATGGAGTCAATGAGCTGACCACTGACCCCAAAATCACACAGCTTAATCTCTCCTCGAGAGTTAACCAGGATGTTGGAAGGCTTCACATCTGACAACAGTGAGAGAGAAGAGTGTAAACATGGCTCTGGGTAAAACAAGGGCTCCTCCAGCACAGGCAGCTATTGTTAGGTTCCTCCTCTCACCTCTGTGCATGATTTGGTGCTTTTCTCTCAGATAGGCCAAACCTCTCAGAACCTAGAAGGAAGCCAAAGACGAGATAAGAACTCAGAAGCAAAGTGTTTTGCCTTCAGTAAGACGCATTGCATAAACTTCAGTGCTGCCACACTGCAGCTCAGTGAGGAAAGCCTCTTGGTGGTGACTAAGCACTTCAAGTTTTGCAACTGATCACTGTGGATGGGAGTGAGCAATGGCCACTGTATAGATTCGGTCAGAGAGCAAAAACCAACCCCTGTTGTGACAATCACAAGTCTTAGGTTTATTGCCCAAGGAAGTTTCTCCCCATCTGGCGACCACCAAATAGTGCAACGCCAGGGGTGGGAGCTATGAGAGTGCTTGGGAATCTGCTTCCCTGCTCCCATCTCACATATCACCACCTCCTGCCCAACTTCAGGATGGGAAAGCACATATGGAAAAACAAAGAAAGCTTCCTGGGGTTGTACAAGCATTTTCTCACCCATGGCAACTCACCGCTATACTGACTTTCCCCAGTATTTCCTCAGGAATTCTTTTGGCTTCTTTCAACACTTGATCCAGAGAGCCACCATCCTGAAAGTAAGAAGGTAACAGAGGTTATCAGCACACCAACAGCAGCAGAGCAGTTGGCCATACAGACAAATGCATCCATATTGGACCAGAGCTGTAAGAGTGGCACAAAGCATCCCAGCTCAGCAGACTGCAGTACCTCAATATCAAGCACACTCCTACAGCAGAAAAAGATTTCTGGTGATCAGAGCTCAAGCTTCTCACTGAGAACTACTTTAATCCTATCAGCTCTGTTCCTTGCTGTTAGTTTTTAAGCTTCTTTTCCCTCAGCAGTAAACACAAAGATGAGGCTGCCAGCATCATTGTGGAGGAATGACAACACTTCTGACAGGGACAAGAAAAGATGCAGACTGCATTTGACAGCAAGCTCTGTAGAGTGGTGGGTTTACAATATTTCTGTTTGGCCACCCCCTAAACTTCTGCTTCCTAAAGTCATTTAGAAGCCTAAGTAGAAGCATGGAGATGCTAACCCCAGCTTAGCAGCCTTGTTGAACACCAAGCAGTCAGAGCAAGGAGGAACTGCACTGCCAGCAATGAGTGCCAGCACACTAACCCACTTCACCTGGATGTCATTCTCATAAAGATCCAGTTGGGAACACAGTACTGAGAGCAGCAGTTTGGAGAAGGAGGAAGGGGGGGGATGTGGACTCACCATGTGCTCCATGCAGATGGAAATCTCTCCATCACTGTAGAAGGCTCCATAGAAACCCACAATATATGGGGAATTACACTCGTGCAGCACCTGCAGCTCTCGGATAATCTGATTCCTGATGGCTGGTTTGATTTCTAGATGAATCAGCTGACAAGAGAAATCATTAAAAAAAGGTACAGTGCCTAAAGAAATCAAAGAACAACCTTACAGTGTTGTTCAACCACGTGAACAAGCAAGCGTGAGCATTGGAAAGAAAGGAAAATGTTTTCAAAATTAAAGATAAAGGGTCAAGTGGAGTGCTGTGCAGCCTGCTAGCAAGTGCAGCAACTGCCAGCCTGTGTAACACACTGAGATCACACAGGACACAGAATGGAAAGGCAAGGCAGAAGCAGATCTGAGTTGGCAACGTGAGCATTTTCATCAGCTTTGTAGTTGTTGTAAGAACAGGTGCTCTCATACCAAGGAAACTACATGAAGTAAAAAGAAATTCACATGCTTATGCACGTGGAGGAGTGAATGCTTTATTCCTTGGGCTCCACATAGAGTCAGCTAACACTGCTGTGGGAAGGAAAGCCATGAAGTCTAGCAAATAGAAAGCAGCTGCTGTTACTGTAAGCTCTGGGTGTAAGCTGGGTGTCCACCCAGGCCCTGGTTTCTGCAAGGAACACAGCAGTGCTGCCCAATGCTGCAGCTTGCCTTGGCTCCAGTTTCTAAACACAGCACTCCCAACAATCTCAAAACCATCTAATTACATCTGACATTTCCAAAATAATGCCACAGTGGAAGACTCACAGAGCTCCACTCCAAGCAAAGCCACCTGGAAAACCTATTAGTTCACGATACCCATTAAGTCATCCCCACAGCAGGTGAGAATAGAGCCTTCCAAGGAAGCTGTCCTATATATTAGCAATTGTACTGCTCTCACTGAGCACTGCCTTTTCTAACAGGCAGACAAAGCACCTCCTATTTCTCTATTACAAGACAATAAAAGACATTTCCCATAAGCCAATCTCAGAGAGGAACAGCTGTCAAGACAGTTTCACAAGGCTGCTTGCAACTGTTAAGGGGATGGCAAGGGATGCGTGCACGCCAAACTCTGGTGTGTGCAGGGCCAGCCATGCATCTTCCCATCTGCCACACTGAGCCATCACCCTCAGAAAACCCATTTCCTGGTAAAAGAACAAACTCATGTTCTCACACCAGGCGTTGCAAAACCCTGTCACCTTTTTAAAGCAGACTTCCCCTCTCAGGAGATGACCCACAGCCAGGCAAAGCAGCCAGAAAGCTTACAGAAGTTAAGGAGCCCAGCTTTGTGCACTGGTACCAACTCAGACATGTGCTTTGCATGCAGGTGAAGCAGTGCACACAGCCTTCTTGGACCCTGCACCCCAGCAAGGCATCTCCTACCCTCCTTACCTTCCGTGCCATAATGAGCCCTGAGGGTTTGTGTTGCACTTTGGTGACCACACCACCATTGCCAGCCCCCAGCTCAGAGATCCGTTCAAAGTCATCATCCTTCAGCTCTCCCACTTTGGCTTTCTGAGTGAGGAAAGCTTCCAAGCGCTTCTTTTGCTGCTCATCCAGCTCCAGCTCCTCGAGTTTCTTCTGAAGGTCCACCAGGTTAGCCCTGCAGGAGATGATGGGGGCATCAGTCTGTGAGGGTCTAGAGAAAAATCTGTCCTTTGTTGGCAGGGGCAAAACGTGGCTCATGAGGGTTAGACAGCGAGGCACGGGGAAAAGAACCTCAACGTTTTATTGTGGGAACCGTGGAGAAGCAGAGAGAATAACAGCAGCCCCAACTCACATATACTCAGCCCAACCCCCTGTAAAAGTTAAGGGACAACTTTTCCTAACACAGAAAGCCACGCTCGGCCTCCTCTGTGAAGCACAATGCCTCTCCACATGCCCACCAACCCCCTGCTACCCCACAGCCGAGCACAAAGGGGATGCTGTGTTCCCCAACACCTGCTACGCACACAGACAGACACACAGACACTCCAGCCACCCTCTACCATTTGCTGCCCCACCCCCCACCCAGGGCAGGGGATCGGGAAGGGCTCCCAGCAGCCCCAACACCCCCTCCTTCTCCTCCCCCCCCCAAATCCCTATGGGTTCTGCCCCTCCTCACCCCACTGACCACCCCCAGCTCCTCGCCCTGCCCCCCCCCCAGCCCCCTTCCCCACCTCATCCCAGCCAAGCTGTGAACAAGGCCGCTCTGTACCCGGCCCCATCTCTTCCTCCCCGATCCCACAGCCCTGCCCTCATCAGCCCCCGCTTCCCACACGGACCCCATCCAGCCACAGCCCATCCCAACCCCCCCATTCGCTCTCCAAGCCCCGTTCCCGTCCCTCTCCGGTTCCCGTTTCCAGCTCCCAGGCCCGGCACGCAACCAAATCCCAGCACCGACGTTTCCAAAGCGGTAAGGACCGGTCAGACCCCACCGCCACTCACTCACTCTGCGGAACCTCCGGGTCCGGGTCCTTCGGCGGGGCTGGGAGTGATGGTGAGGGCCGGCAGCACCGGCTTCCTCTTGGCCGGCATGGCCGGGCCGCGCCGCGCCTGCGGACCGAGCGGGGCGGGGCATGGAGCGAAAGTGGGCGGAGCCAAAAAGGGGGAGGAACCGAAAGGGGCGGGGCGTAGGGAAACGGCCGCGTGGAGGACACCTCGCGGAGTCTCGCGAGAGCGGGCTGCGGAGGACGGTTTCGAGATTCAGAGGGGAGCTGAAAGAGGCGGGGCTTGCGGTGGCTGCAGCGCCCCCTGCTGGTGTCCGCCGTGCCGCAGGCGGCGGAGCGTTCGGGAGGCTTTGGCAGCCCGGCGGATCGCGTGGTGCCAGGGCGGTGGCGGGGCGGAGGTCGGCGGAGCGGATGGTCTTTGCCCGGAGCAAGGAGTTCCCGTCTCCGCTGCGGGGCCATAAAATACGGCGTGAAGGCGGTGCCCTCCCTCTTACCGTTCCCTCCTGGACAGAGGGCGTTGTGCAGGAGATAAGCACGACGTTGCAGCCTTGTACCCCGTGGCACAGCGTGGTCACAAGCTGCTTTGCTCACCGGGCACGAGGGAAAGGGGAGGGCTGGGTTGTGCTTTGTACAAATGGGATCAGCTGGGTGGGTTCTGCTGGGGTCTGGTCATACCCATCCAAAGCTGTAACCCCCAGCTGGAATGTGAGATATGCAACATCATCACCAAAGGGTGAGGGATGCTGCAGGCTGCGAGCCCCAGCCTTCATGCTTTTGGTCCACAGGGAAACTGAGGCACAGAGGTGGTATCTGGACCAGCCCTGGGTGTGAGGATCATCATGAACATCAGTTGGGATCAACGAGAAGGAGCAAGTGGTAGAATTTAAGCCAACGTCTTCCCCAGACGTTCTCAGCACTTATAGGATGTGATTCAATGATTCATGCTGATGTGCTCATCTGAAACAAAAGAAAAAAAAAAAAAAAAAGAAATTACCCCCAAAGTGGGGGAAAGTTCATGGGCAGTTGCAGAGCCTGGACTTCGCCCATCAGCCCAGGTCCCTCCTGCCCCGCTCGGCAGAGGAGGACAAAAACATTTGGCTAATAAGTTACGGAGCACCGTGGGCCTTCCCTTTGCCATCACCGGCCCCTATCAGGACACAGGTGATTTTGCAATCTTGGACATTATTTATGTGCTGTTGGAGTTTAAACTTTGCCACTCGGGTCAGGGCATCGCAAAGGAGGAGGTGGCCAGGCTCAGTGTCCTGCATACCAAAGGAATTCAGAGGCCAGGACGGATCTGAGGGCTTCCCACCAGAGCTGGGATCTCACACAGGTACGTCCTTGCTGCCAGTGCTCAATAAAACCCTGCTGTCAGCAATGGGGCTGCTGATGTGACCGAAAGGACCACGGGTAGAGAATAGGGTGTAATTTCCCCCTTTTCCCAAGCTGGCTGCTCAAATGTCACCTTAACGACAACCAAGCTCAAACCCAGCTTGAAAAAGCCTTGAGACAGTGCTCCTTAGAATGGGGTATTGGTTGGGTGGTGGGCTGGGTGGGTTGGGGTGGAGGTTGGGTGAGTGGTCAGTTGGTCAGTGGGTTGGTGCTTTGGTTGATCAGTTTGTCAGTTGGCCAACAGCTTGGTCTGTCTTTTGGTCGCTTCCTTGATTTTGCTGGTCAGTTGGCCAGCAATTGGTTGGTTTTCTTGGAGTCCAGACTTTGGGATTGGAGTAGCACTGGGGCCAGTAGCAGCAGCCTCCTTTCCTTCCATTTGCCACATTAAATGATTAACCTGATTTTCCCAGCGGTCACATATGCCAGACAGGGCCAGATAGGAGAAATGAGCTGAGGCTCAGGTCTGGGTGCTCCTCCTGGTAGGGTTGGGATGGCTGGGTGCCCATGGGGAGCCCCTGCTGCTGGGGGAAAAATGGAGGATTTAGGAGTGACAGCTGCTGGAAGAGAGCAGAGGGGGGGGGACAATGCCATGTCCCTGACCCCCTGTGTGTGCGTGCAGACCATACGTGTGCTCTCCCTCCTGCATGCAGGCACGTAGGGCTTGGCCAGGTGTGCTCACATGCTGCAATACAGGTTGCAACGTGTGCGTGTTCATACCCACGTCTCACATGTGGGTGCACGTGTGCACATGTAGATTGCACAGTTATATCCCTGCACACACGTGTCAGCATGGCCACACATCCACCCACCTATGAGTGCATCTATATGATCACACACACATTTGCACACGCGTAAACACGTGTGTAGATGCACATCCTCGTGGTCCCATACACATCTCCATGCTCTTCACTCCCTCTCACCAAGCTGCCCAGTGCTTCAGGGTGTCCCCAGAGCTATGAAACTTGGGAGAGAGGCACAGGGACAATCATGGGGATGGGGCCTGACCTCGTCTCCTTGCAGCCATGGCCTCCACTGTGGGCAGCCTCGACAGCATCGACCTGCTGGACCTCCTCTTTGATCGCCAGGATGGAATCCTCCGTGGTGTGGAGCTGGGGACGACATCCCCAGGCACCTGGCACGAGGATGGGGTGAGCCCTGCTTTACACAAACACCATGCAGTGCTGTCCTGTGGCTCAGGCAGATCCTACAGAAGCCCAGCACTATGGTGACAGGCATCCATATCTCCACAGCGTGCCCAGGATGGCGAGGATTTCCTTAGCTCCATTCTGGGCTCTGGAGACTCGATATCAGACTCGCCCAGCTGGTCTCCAGGTGTCAGCGACAGTGGAGTCTCTGAGGACCCCCCCTCTGATCAACTCGACAGCCCCCCTGGGTGCTGTGATGGAGGTCTCAGCGAGGCCCCATATGCCTTTACCAACTCCTGCCAGGTTCTGACACACCCTGGAGGCACCGGAGGCCCCCACCCTGAGGTCTCCATTGACCTGGGTGAGCCATGGGGACAAACTGGGTGGAGGACAGGGCTGGGAGCACTGGGAGGATGAGGAGACATTGGGGAGCTGATGGGTGGTGTGGGAAGTTAAGGGAGGTGGGTGGGATGGGAGGTTTGGGTATAAAGGAAGAATGGAGAGGTGTGGGGCACAGAGGGGAAGCTGGGGGATGTTAGGGGGCCAAGGACACGACACAGCTGACAGCCCTCACCCATCTCTCACCCAGATATGTGGAATCCTGGCTTCTTCCTGGAGGAGGGTCGGGGTCTGTCGACAGTCCCTGCACCTGCATCCTGTACCCTCACTGTCAAGGATCTGCTGCTCTCAGGCAGCTCTGATGCTGTGAGTCCTCACTACCATGCTCCCCAGCCCTCCTTGTGCCCAGTCCTGTTCCATCCTAGATGCCATCCTCATTCCTCAAGCATGGTCTCATCCCCATCCCCGTGTTTTTTCTCATCCTTATCCTTTTCTCTTTCCTTGGACCTTTGTCCCTTCCCTCCCTCTTTATCCCTGCCACTTCCTGGACCATGATCCCATTCCTGCCCTCATCCCTCCCTGTCTCTCCCCCACTTATTCCCCTTCCTGAACTACACACAGTCTTGTTCCCATCCCTTTCTGGATGACATCCTCAACGTTGAACCATTGTCCCCACCTGTGGTCCTCTGGGGCAGGCATGAGGTTAGCCTGCAGCCAAGGATCATCACCCATCCACGGTCCCTCAGCAGCCACAGGTGCCCAACTCCCTACTGAGGCAGGGCCAGGGGCAGTTCCAGGAGCTTGTGCTGACAGAGGATGAGAAGAAGCTGCTGGCAAAGGAGGGGGTGTCCCTGCCCACGCAGCTGCCCCTCACCAAGGTGAGTCTCGTGGTACCTGAGATGAAACAAGTGGACACTATGCTTGGGGTCCTGGCTGCCCTAACCCCCCTATTTATGCAGTATGAGGAGCGAGTGCTGAAGAAAATCCGGAGGAAGATCAGAAACAAGCAGTCAGCTCAGGAGAGCCGCAAGAAGAAGAAGGAGTACATTGACGGGTTGGAGAGTCGGTATGGCCACTGAGCCCCTGCCTCAGGCTGGCTGGTGATAGGCTCACTGCTTGGCTTCCCTCAAACCTCACATCCCTCTCTCTGTCCCCCAGGATGTCAGCATGCACGGCTCAAAACCAGGAGCTGCAGAGGAAAGTCCTGCACCTAGAAAAGCAGAACTCGTAGGTGTCTCCAGAACAGACCAGGGACAAAGGGGCAGGTGAAGGGGTGGTTGAGACTTTGTTGGGAGGTGTATCCCAGACCTTGGGGTTCTCATACACTCTATCCCCAGGTCTCTCCTGGAGCAGCTGAAGAAGCTCCAGGCCCTGGTGGTGCAGTCGAGCAACAAAGCAGCACAGACAGGAACCTGCATTGCGGTGCGTGGAGCCATCTGCTCCTTGTCCCCATTCTCTGCCCCAAATCTCCTCCAGGGCTCCTTGCTTCAAGGGAGTGAGAAATCAATGGAGGTGTGCTGGAAAGGGTGGAAGGAGGGATGGGTGTGCTGACGTGGAGGAATAGATGCTCCAGAGTTGGATGGATGGAAGAAGGGATGGATGTGTGTTAAGAAGGGTGGATGGATGGTATCCTACCAGGGGCACGTGAACAGTGAGAAATGGAGGGACGCAGCCCTGGTTCTGCCACCAGCACCCTCTGCATGTTGCAGAGCATGGTCCTCCTCAAGCCTCAACCACACACAGTAACACCACCTCTATGTCCCCAGGTCCTGCTGCTCTCCTTCGCACTCATTGTCTTCCCCTCCATCAGCCCTTTTGCCCCTAGCAAGGCTGAGACAGGTGGTGACTTCGGACCAGTGCGAGGTAAGGAGGGCTGGGGGGGCCATGCCAGGGCTGCACAGAGGGCATTGCTGCCAGCTCTAACTCTCCTTCGTGCTCAGTTTTCTCCAGGTCCCTGCATAACATAGCTGCCTCCCGTGTGGCTTATGCACAGCCCCGAGCTGGGGATGAGAAGCCCCCAGAGCCACTGTGGTCAAAGCACCAGGGTGAAACCGAGACACTGCACAAAGCCTTTGGTAGCAGCTCCTTCACTCCACACCTCGATAAAGCTCCTACCCAAAACAACACACCACCAATTGCCTCAGAGGGGCTGAGCCAGAGCGATGGAGACCAATCTGGCACTGCATTGGGGGACAGCACTGCACTGCACCAAAGCCTGACGTCGCTTGCTTGGACAGAAGCTGACCACAGCAGGCCCACAGTGCTGGAGCCAGCTGAGGAGCTTTAAGCAGCACCCAGGGACTGCAGGGGACACAGTAGGGTTCAGCACCCCAACACCTATAGGACAGACCCTTGGGGTCCCTCTCCAGGCATGGACGGATGCTAGAGACCAACTTGGTTTTGCTTCTGTCTGCGAACTGGGAAGAGGAGACTAGTTCCTATTGGCCTTACCAGGAGGAAAGGAAGGGGCTACCCCTGCCTGCTGGATACAGCAGGAACTGGGGAAGGGACATGGGTTTGGTCAAGAAGGGAATGGGGGTACCAGAGGAGGCCTGGTCTGGCTGGATGTTGACATTGCAGCCTCATGATTTTGTTCTCTCTTTTTTTTTTAAGCAAGCACACAAACTTCATTTTCATCTCTAAATAAAAAGTATTTTGGAAAAAAAGAAAAAAAAAAGAATCACCTGCCTTAGTTTAATACGTGGTAATCCATAGGGTTTCAAAGACATCTTGGTTGTTGGGTTCAAGAGTTCCCTGGCTCACAATGTGACAGCAGAGCTGGGGCACTTGATCAGATCCTGCTCAGGGCTGCCCAAGGAGATACAGGCACAGCAGAGGGACCAGCATCCCACCACCACCCAGCCCTGCTCTATCTGAGACAGCAACAGCTGCTTGATCCTGTTGTGTCACTCCCCCAGCATTACCTACCTAACACTGAGCACCCTTATCCCTGGGCCTTCTGAGGTCTGCAGGGCACAGCTGGGCTCTGCAACCCTGTCTTTACAGATAAAGAACTGTATGGAGCAGGGGACATTCTTCCCACCCTGGCAGGTACAGTTGCCCAGACATACATGATTCAAGTGTATTTAATACTTACATAAAAAAGAGACAAAGCTTAAGGAGATAAAAAATAAAAAGTCGGTAGGAAAAGTGGCACAGACAAGTGTCTAGTGAGACAGGGAACAGTCTGGGTCAGGTGAGGAGAGGCTCTACCTTCATCTTCTTTGTCAGTGGTGGTCCTGTGTCCAGACTGGGACACTCCTGCTTCAGACTATCATGGTGCTCCACCAGCGTGGTCCCAAGGTCGGGGCACTGCCCAGCTGTTCCATTATGCTGGGAAAAGGACTCTTCCTTGAGCAACCCGTGAGCCTCGGGCTTAAATTTGTAGAGCTGTTCAGGCTTGGCAGAGTCAGCACTTTCCACCACCACTGGCCCTGTCCACTCTGGGACTTCCAGTCCCAGGTGCTTCATCAGTTTTGTCATGACATCATCGACGTAAGCATGAATGCGCAGGTCGGCCTGTCTGTCCTGGGGTAAGCAAGGACAAATGTGGCATTAGGGGGACAAACATGATGTACAGGAACAAATGTCTGTTCTCAGGGAGTGCCTGGGGACAGGAACTGGGCAATGGCTCAGCTGCACGCAGACTCCAAGGCTCCTGCCCCTGGGACATCTTCTATAAAGGAACACATACCGGGACTGTGACCCAACCTGACACTGCTCCCTGGCTATGCTGCAGGCTGCTGGGGTTGTATCCAGGTGTGAACAGGCAGTCTGCACCTTTAAATACAGCCCAGCAAACCAAACATGGATGCAAAGCCAGGCTAGCAAGCCCAGGTCAGAATGGGACAGAAAAACAGAGCTCTAACAAATCTCAGAATATGCCCAGTTCTAGTTATTCAAAAGCTGCCTGACAATTACAGCACCAAAACCAAGGCTAAACATGAACCAAACTCCCTTGTGCCATGGCACAGGTTATGCATGTGCAGTTATTTAACTGGACATAATTCACCAGAGCATACACTGGGCTTTGTGCTTGGTTTTTATCACGCTCTTAATACATACCTTCCATTTCTAGGTGTTTATTGGAGTTGCAAGTTTAAACACTCCAATAATAGAAGCCCAGCCTGCCACCTCTATATGGCTGCTTGGGAGGTGACAATGTGCAGGGAACAAATAATGGGGCTGAAACAAGTGAAGGGAAAAGAGCAGGGTAGAGCAGCAAGGATGCTCTCACTCACATGCTTGGTTGCTTGCAAGTTGACTATGACCAGCTTCCCTCCTCTCTTCTTTGTGATCAGTGGGAGGTTGCCACTGGGTTTGATCTGCAGAGAGGTTCCCAGTGTAACAGAGAGATCAGCTTTCCTGCAAGGAGGAGATAAAATATCCAAGACAGAAAATAAAAAAAATAAAACCACAATCACTTGCAGACCGCTCCAGCCTGGACTCTAGCAGCTTCCAAGCTGGGAAGCAAAGCTGTGGCCAGAATTTGCAGTACTTTTCCTTGGTCACTTCCTCAGAAAGAACTAGGCATTGCTGTCCTATGGACACTGCCTCAGGTCTGCAGAGTGCTTATGCACGAACAAACCCATACAGGCTCAGCCCAAGGGCTGTTTGCTGTGGTACTGGCAGAATGCAGAGGGCACAGGCATCCTGCTGGGTCACTGCAAGCTGCAGCAATCAGCAGTCATGATGGCTTGAAAATTCCAAATATGGTACCTGCAGGCTTCATCTGCTAGTGTGAGGTCACGGTCAGGCAGGGAATCTTCCCAGTCCAGAATAGTGTCTCTTAACTTCCCTCTAGAAGACACACAGGGACCACAGTTACCCTGCCAGGCAGGAATGGTCAGCAGAGATGGCTAGGAGAGAAGCTACAGCTCCATCACCTGGACCCCCTGCCACACTTCCTCAGCCCAGTGCTGCAAAAGTACAGGAGAAAGCCAAGAGCAGCTATGAGGACTCACTGGTAGGCAAGGGAAGAGACATAATTCACCTGCACGAGGCATTTTGTGGATGGTGCTGTGATGCCACCAAAAGCCATCAAAGCTGCTCTCTCGCTGTTTCTTTTCATTGCTGGTGTGCACCTTTACCTCCCCAACTTCAGAGGTGCATCAGCACAGTTCTGCCCCACGTCTTGGAGCCCCCCACCCTCCAGCTCAATCTCTGCTGTACACAGAGTGTGACTGGATGTCACATCACATCAGTGCCCCTCCAGCTGTGGAGCTGAAGAGCTGAGGATGGTGCCCACGCTTCCCTACAGGAGATCTGCAGCATCAAGTGTAAGGGCTGCATCCTGTTGGAGAGGAAGGGCCACCTCTAAAGCTGCAGCCCTATAGAAGGGCACTCCCCAACACTAGGACATGTTCAAATGATCAGCATGGGAAGATACCCAAGAGTAGCCTGCTTGGCTAGGACCTCCTCAGAAGCTGGGACACTGGCCTCCTCTCTGTGCATTTAAAGATGTCCTGTGCAGCCACTGCTGCTTATTTATTCACTTGAACCTGAGGGACTGCAGGCTCAGCCCTGCAACACAAAATCTGAACATCAAAATCATTCACTCCTACCTCCCAGGTACTCGGCTGTCCCCTCTCCATTGCACAGCACCCTGGGAGGCCCCATCCAGCACCTCTACTCCCACAGCTGCCCCAGCAGACATACCTGCAGGCCCGTAGCCCTCGTGCTTTGGTGACGCTGCACAGCCTGCCTGTTGGCTTCAGCCCCATGCTGCCCACAACAGCATCCCGCACGTACTGCCTGCACACACAAGAGATGATGCTATTCAGAGCCCAATGTCCAGTGTGACTCACAGCAGCCACACGCAGGGAAGTGTGAACAGCTGTGAAACGTCCCCACAACACAGCACATTTCACATCAAAGACACCTGGGAGAGAAGGAAGCAGGTGATGGCTCAGAGCCACGTGCAATGAGCTGAGCACCTCAGTCCTTTATCAATTTCAAACCACATCTCTACCCAGGTATTGCTTACAGCAATTTCCCTTTTAGGGAGCTTTGAACATCAGCTCCAGGGCCACTGAAGTCTGCTACCATCCAGGATGCAAAGCCCAGTATGCAATCTGTCACCTCTCTAGCAGGCAGCCCCACTTGCCACAATGAGCAGAGGGTTTCCCAGGCAACGGAGGTTTCTCAAAATGTTTATTTCCCACAGTATGACAGGGCTTATGATTCAGATGGGAAAGATCTGATCATGATTCCATGCACTCTGCACCTGCCTGACAGGCAACTCCAGGTCTGCTCAGGCCCTCCACTGTTCCCCAGGACAACAACAAAGCCCCCATGTGCTGCTACCCACGTACTTGCCACATTTCATGCACTCCTCCACAAACATGTTCCCGTGGAGCTCAGCCAACTTGTCCCTGTGGGAGAAATGGCAGAGATGAATGGAGATTCCCTGAACCAAGAGGGGCCATCGCATGCAGGACACATGGAGACCTCTTTGTGCATTTAACATAAGAAATATTGTTCCAGGGTGGTTTGGGAAGAGCTGTCCCTCTTGTGGGGCAGGGGAGACCCAAAGGACATGCTCAGACCTTGTGGAGGACTTCTGCACCCATTCCATCTCCATCATGAGAACATTATGCTATGCTTGCCACAACTGGGACCAAGGGGAAGGAGAGCATATCCTGGCTTGATTTTACATGATTCCCTCCACAGCACCAGTTCTTTTTTTATTCTGACCTAGTCTCAAACCTTCCTTGTGCCTAACAACAACCTGAATCTTTGCTTTTCTCAGTACTCAGTATTTCTCTCTTTGTCCCTGCAGAGTCCCAGCCCTTTGCCAGCCCTTTTGTTCAAAACTCCCCTCAAGTTCAACACCAAACTCAAAGTGCAAAAGCTAGTAGGAAACAAAGCCACACTCCTCCTACATCCCTATGAGCCTCACAGTGATTGGAAATCTCCAGGACTGACTTGATCCACAACACTGAACAGCACTTTCTTAAGCACATACTCCACTTGAGTGGAAGAGAAATGCTGGAGAAGAATGTGAGCCAGCTGCACCAGGCTGAAGGGAGCACTGATGAGCCATGGTGATTAATTCTTATTCCTTTTTCCAAGGTTGTTTAGTTTGAAAAGGCATATGCAGTGGCAGGAGCATGAACCAGGACTCAGGGCTTTTAATAATAGGAAATAACCTCTTGAAGGAGCTCTCTGCTCAGACCATAAAGGCTGAAGCCATCTAAGAAATGCATCTTCTCCTAGTTTCTAGTCAGGCTCCCCCTTCTAACTTCCTTCACTCTATTTTCTTACTTGAATTCAGCTGCTCTCTTTTCTCTTCCAGGCAGCTCCAAACAGTTTGGGTTATGACATAATTATCTGCTGGTCTTAAGTATTGGAAATGGGTTCTTATCACAGGCTGAAGTTTGTTGAAGGGAGAAGAGCATGTTGCCACAAGTGCTCATAGAAAGGCAGGTTCCTTTAAGGACAACTTGGAAATAGCCACCACGCTGCTAAACACACTTCAGACTCCACCCAAGCAGAGAGGGGAGATCCCTTACCCTTGGGTTCCACATGTCACAGCTCCTCACAGAGGGAACGGTGCTACGTAGGAGCCCTGATCCCAGTGCAGCTGGCAAAAAAATCAGAGACTGCAGCCAGTAAGTTAGATCAGTTCCTACTGCAGCATTCTCTCTGCCCTGATACTATGGCAGTTTCATAAATTTATCCACTATCCATATCAGTGGACAGACAGCTTCTGAGTTATCTCTGAAACTCAATCCCCAACATAACGAGAGAACTGGCTGGTGTACTTTGTCAGGGATGTTTGCAGATGCTTGCACACGAGGCCATGCTAATCAGGCAGGGAGAACAGCCATGCTTTGGCATATGGAAGAGACAAAAAGAACCTGGAGGCAGGGTGGGAGAAGCAGTACCGTGGGAATCCTGAGCGCACATGAAGGCCATCCACATTCTGGCTGACCAGGAATTTCAGGATGCCGACTCTTTGCAGCCCCAGAAGTGCCATGTGAGTTTTGGAGGGCCTGGCGTTCTCAAAGGTGGTGTCAAATTTTGGGGAAAGCCCCTTCTCTTCCATAGTCCAGACACCATTAGGCCCCCTGCAGCAAAGGGACAGAAGAAACAATAACTGAGATCTCAGGCTCTGCTATGATGCTTGTAAATGCATCCCAAGCCCCATCAGTGCAAGCAAGGCACTGCTAAACAAGGGCCACATATTACTGGATATTTTTGTTCAAAATGCATGTAGGGCTTCTGTGGAAGTAGTAAGTGCAAGATGGAAAAGGTAGTTTCAGCTGGATACAGGACAAGACAAGCGGACAGGACATGACAGGATGATCCCTGCAGTAAGGATGACTGGCAGGAAGCCCAGTTTAGATGGAAGATGGACTTGGATGAGGTGCTGTTCATTCCCTATCCCCGTTATCCGCTGCCCACTGCTTTTACCTGAAGTCAGGAATCCCCGAGGCGGTGCTGATGCCAGCCCCTGTGTGGAACACCACATTGGAAGAACTCTTTATCAAATCTGCCAGCTCACACACCTTCCTCTCCAGCTCTTCAGGAGGATCAAAAATCTGAGCGGAAGAGACAAATCCCCACATGAACAGGGACATGCAGAGATGGGTGGGTCCTACGTGCCTCCTGGCAGGCACAAAGAGCCAGCAAACCACACTTCTGTCATATCCACAACAGAAACTCCACGTGGGAAAGGAGATTTCACATTGCTTAATGACAAATGCATGTAATGAGGGAAACAGCACTGTATATACCATCCCCACACAAATTAAGGCAGGATGGGGGACAGTGGTGGATGGGGTCTGCATGTGGCAGGGGGGCTGGAGATTCGTGATCCTTGAGGTCCCTTCCAACCCTGCCAATTCTGTGATTCTGGGTCATGGGCCCGTTCTGATTTTTGGCACAGCATAAATTCATTTCTATAGGATGGTTCTTTGGCCCGGCCTTTTAGGGACAGGGGTTCCAACACAAAGCTTTTCTTAAGCTTCATGAGCGTGGACGGGGGGAGGGGAGCACAGGGATGGGGTCACTCCGGGAGGAACTCAGCAGTGCCCACCTCGCTCCCTTCAAAACAAAACCCCCTGCTGATAGGGGGGAGGGGGAAGGGCGGGTAAAGGGCCGGCCCTGAGGAACACAAAGGGGAGGAGGGGACACAAAACAGGAGGAAGAAGGGAATGGAGGCGGCGAGCTCTGAAGCCGGGACCTGAGCACCCAAAGACCCCGCGGTACCGGGGGTCCCCAGGGGGCACAAAGCCCCGTTGCTATGGAAACCCTGCAGGACGCCCGCCATACCAGGCGACCCCGCCGCGCCGTGCTCACCTCTGGGAGGCCGCATTTGCCTTTATCCGAGTAGGGCGAGAGCCCGGCCGCGTAATTCACAGCCATGGCCCGGCCCGGCCACCGGAGAGCTCATTGTTGTCGGTCCGCGAGCGGGCGGAAGCGCGCACGGAGGCCGCGGCATCAGGGCGCATGCGCAGACTCCCGCCTAGAGTAGGCCGCGGCATCAGGGCGCATGCGCAGACTCCCGCCTAGAGTAGGCCGCGGCATCAGGGCGCATGCGCAGACTCCCGCCTAGAGTAGGCCGCAGCACCAGTACGCATGCGTAGACTTCTGCCTAGTGAAGTCCTCGCCGCCATCTTTGTGTTTGGTAACAGGGACGTGTGCCCTCACCTTGCTAATACATCCACTATAAAACACAGCCCTTGGAAGGGAAGAAGACACTGGGTGCTAGCAAAAGGTGTCAGGCAAGGGTGTACGATGCCAAGTGATGCCATGCAAAGAGGTGCCATGCAAGTGGGTGCACCACAAAGGCAGCGGGTGTCAGCTCTGCTAGTCTCAGCCATGTCCTTCACTGCCTGCAGCCTAATAGGGCTGGGGGGGGCAGGTCATAGAATAGAATGTCTTAGATTTGGAGAGGACCTGAAGGATAATCCAGTTTCACACCCCTTCACTGGGCAGGGTTGCCAACCGCTGGGTCAGGCTGCCCAGGATTCTGCCCAGCCTGGCCTTGAGTGCCTCCAGAGATGTGGCATCCCCAATTTCTGGTGTTCCAGCACCTCGCTGCCCTCTGAGTAAAATATTTCTCCTTAACACCTAACCTGAAATGTCGTGGTGATTCCAAACTCTCCTTTCCCTCCCCTGAGGCTTGCCCAGCCCTGCCATGGTACCCTCTCCAATGCAGCTGCCCTATGCCTGGGTGCAGGGGTTTGAAGGGTGCCAGTGCTCCCTGCCCTGCCTGGTGCTTGGCCCTCCCATGTCCCCCCCGGCTGTAACCGCAGAGGTAACCCAATGCCTTCATGTGCCCCCCCGCGTCGTGCTGTGGGCCAGAAGCAGTGAGACAAGGAACAGACAGGGCTGGTGGTGAGCTGGACCCATAGCAGCAGCAGCAAAGCCCTCAAAGCTGCCACTACCATCTGCAACAGTCACATCCCCACAGCCTGACCCCAGCAAGCAGACGAGGTTTTCAGACACGACCATCGGGTGTCCAGGTGCCACGGGACTGCAGTTACCATGAAGAGCTTGAAGGCCAAGTTCAGGAAGGCAGATGTAAGTGCTGTCCCCAAGGATGTGGGGATGTGTCCTGGGTTGCCAGTGCCCCGAGGTGTCAGTGGGTTTCACAGGGATATGGGGACACAGGGACCTGCCCCAGGATGTTCTATGTTTCACATGGGTATGGGGACATGGGGACCTGTCCCGAGTGGCCAATAACCGTGGCTTCCACTGGGATCACTGGTGGGAGCAGGGCAGAGCAAAAAGAAGGAAAAGCAGCACCAAGGAGAGGTGAGTGTGTCCCAGGTCCTGTACCCATTTCTGTCCCATGGGATGCAGGGATGGCTGCCAGCTTTCCAGCTGCCACAGCCAGATTGGGTTCCCACCTTGGAGCCAGCAAGTCGATGCTCCTTAATTATTCAGCACCAGACTGGCATCATGCTGCATATTCCTGCTGTTTCCCAGGCTGGGAAGAGGGTGACAGCGCTGTCCCCACTCCCTATGGCAGCACCAGGAGGACGTGTAGGTGGAGGAGCCTGCACTGCCTGCTGTGCTCAGGGTGCTCTGTGCCTCAGTTTCCCTACACTGCTGTGAGAGGGAAGGGCTGAGGGTCTCCATTCCTTCCTGCAGTCCCTAGGGCTCTTCTGGGACGGATTTTTGGGAATCCTCTGCGTTTTGGGGTTCTCCCCTTGCAGGAGGTCACTAAGATTCAGGCAGGGGGTCCTGCGTGTCCCTTTTGGCCCCAGAGTAATGGGAGATCAGTTTGTGTCCCTCAGGGCAGGGTTCAGGTCCTACATCCTTCCTCGAGGAGCTGGTTGCAGGCAGTGGGAGGATGCTTGTCCCCGCAGTTTGGAGATGCATCTTTTCCTCTTCTTGCACACGGGGTGTCCAAGAGCTACTCTCCCCCTCCCCCCCCCCGATCCCACTCTAACTGGGACCAGCCTTGGTGAAACCTCAGTACCTGCTCCGAGGCAGGGATGCAGGGATGCTGGAGCTCTGGGCGCCGAGGAGGGAGGGAAGGAAGGAGGGACGAAAGGGTGGCAGGAGGCGGATCCCGGCTGTCACTGCGGCAGGACTCGGTCCCCGCCCGGGCGGCGGTACCGGACCGACCCGTGGTCTGGGGTCCGTAACCAGGAACCCCGGCCAGCCCACGCCCAGGCAGAGAGGCAAGGGATGCATGGCTGCCCGCCGCCTCCTCTTCAACACCATGAAGCAGATCTGCCTCTGTGCCGCTGCCTCCTTTGCGGTACGTCCCTGCCCTCCATCCCCGCTCCCCTTCAGTCCTGCACACGGGGTAAGCTGTCACCCCCAACCCCCGCCCGGATCCCCTCTATTCCCAATCCTGTCCCCGGGGCTTCGCTGCGTCCTCTCCGAGCTGCTTTGTCCTTGCAAGACAAAGGGGCGGGGGTGAGCACCACGCTCCCAGTTTGCCCAGTAACCCTGGGAGTCTGGTTTATTCCACCCCCCGTGACTGGGTCCCCTGGCCCCATAGGACAGGTGCCGTGGCACGGGGCCCCTGCCTAGCGCTGGGCATCAGCTGATGAGGGGTAGGATGTAAGCAGGTCCCAGAGGTGACATCCATTTCCCAGCCACAGCCAACCTCTGGTTTGTTGTCTCAGGCTGTAGGGTGAGCCCCAGGTCCTGCTCTGCTGAGGGTCATTCCCTGAGGAGGGGATATGTGAGGCCACTGGGTCAGCAAACTCTCACCTAGCCCCAGTCCTCCTTGGGAGCAGGGACAGCATCGTGCCCAACACATCCTGGGCTGCAGTCATCCCCAGGGACCTGAGCTCACTGTCAGCCCTGCTTGCCCTGACTTGACCCCTTCCTTGGAAAGGAGAAAAACAAGGCTGAGAATGGAGAGACCCAGGCAGGGATAGGGCTCAGGCACCCCTGGGTGCTGGCTGTGGATAACATCAGGGTCACTGAGGTGGCAGGAACAAATCCTGGAGCAGGGGCAATCAGGGAGCATCCCAAATCTTGGAACATTCAGAGTTAAACTGGGGCAGTTCTGCTAATTCCCCTGTCTGTGAACTGCAAACTGGTTGGTGTGTGAAGGGGAACCTCATTCCCATCAGCTCTCCCAGCCAAACCTTTCATACAGCACACCAGACACTGCAGCAGCTGGGAAACTGCACCCAAGAGATAGAGTTGAGGGTGGGTGGGAGATAGCAAGTGAGGGGGTGAGGATTAGCACCCACGCCTAGCTCAACATCCTACCTGCCCCTGATGATAGCACAGAGATCACAGCCTCACGCTGGCTTCATTGCAGAGTCAGGACTGGACCAAGAATGATGAGAAGCTCCTGCAAGCTGTGGACTACAACGATGCTGGAAAGGTGGCATCCCTCCTCGTCCGCAAGGGGCTGGTCCCCACCAAGCTGGATTCTGAGGGCAAATCTGCGTAAGTGCTGTCCTGTGTCTCCAGGTCACCAGGAAAGCAGGGCTGCGATGGGGCTCAGGTGAGAGATATGGGTCTGACAGCTCTTGGTCTTGCTGCAGGTTTCATCTGGCTGCCACACGGGGGAATGCAGACTGCCTTGAAGCCATGCTAGCTCATGGCGTGGATGCCATGACCAAAGACAGCTCGGGTGAGGGCATGGCAATCACATGCCCCTTTCTAATGCTGTGGTAGCCCAGCTCAGCCCAGCAGGTCCTGCTGTGTGCTCATCCACCTGTCCCCCAGCTGATCCCCTGCATTATCAACCCACTGTCTGTCCTCTAACCTGTTTGTCTGTCCCTCTCCCCAGGTTACACTGCCCTGCACCTGGCATCCAAGCACGGCCACCCACAATGTGTCAGCAAGCTGCTGCAGGTACTGGGGCTGAGAGGGAGGGTGCTGTACCTGGTTGTCACACCACACAGAGCCCAGCACCTTCAGGGCAGCCCCAGCCTGGTGCCCTCTGTCTCTGAGCTCCCTTCCCTTAGTGGTGGTGCTGGTTGGCATGGTGGTTTCCTGGCTCTATGTGGCACTGTATGATTTGGGGCAGCCCTGCTCAACCCTACAACTATGCCAAGTAGCCACATGCTTGCAGAGTCTATCTGTCCCCCATCCTGCTGTAACCCAGGCCCTCTCCCTTCAGGCTTCCTGCCCTGTGGATGTAGCTGACAGCAGTGGCCAGACGGCGCTGCACCATGCAGGTGAGTGAGGACAGTGCCAAACCTATCCTGCTCACATCCCCACATCAGGCAATGCTCAGCCTCTCTCCTCCACAGCAATCAGCGGCTGCATACCGTGCTCAGAGATCCTCTGTGATTACAAAGCTCCCCTGAACATTAGGGATAAGGTGAGATCCCTCTGCTTCTCACCCTGTGATACTTTACAGAGCAGCAAAGATCCAGGCTGCCTTTGAAATGCAGCAGCTTCTGGGGTGGAACGCAGCAGCTGGCAGTGCCTGTGGTCTCCAGAGCACTGCTGTGAAAACACCCTGCAAGCAGAATGTGGAAATCAAGCAGCAGGGTGCCCCAAGGTGGGGGATCCAAGCAGCATCCCCAGAACCTCACCCAATTTATCTCTGCCCAGAGTGGCTGCACGCCGTTGATCCTTGCTGCTAAGATGAGCCACTCAGAGCTCTGCCAGTACCTCCTGCATCGTGGAGCAGCCATCAACAGCCGTGACCTGCAGGGGAAGTGAGTCTTTGCTGGTGGGGATTGGGGGCACGTGGGGAGATGGATGGTCTTCTCACCTCTGCTCCCACCCCTCTGCTCAGGACAGCCCTGATGCTGGCTTGTGAGAATGGCAGCGTGGAGACGGTGGAGGTGCTCATCAATGCTGGTGCACGGGTGGCCTTGGTGGATTCGATGGGCCACGATGCTGCACACTATGGCCTGTCCACAGGCAATGCTCTCATCCAGCATTTCCTGCAAGAGGCTGCTCAACGCCAGTCCTGGGCCAGTGGTAAGGCTGCTGTATGTTCTCCGTGAGTGCATGACACTGTGAACACCCCCAGTGTGGCTCCACCTGCCATGCCCACCTCCACGATCCCCAAAACCTCCTTGATTTCTCTTTCTCTCCACAGAAGAGGAGTCATCTGAGCAGATGTCCCAGGTGAGGGTTGCCAGGCTTGACTCTTAGCAGAATTAGCCTGGATCCTGCCCTCAGCCCCTGGCTGGGGGTCGTTGGGAGTCTTCAGGCTCTCCAAGGCAGTGATGGTCCAGGAAGGGGGAAGGCCACTTGGCATGTGATGTCCCTCTCTGCAGACATCTTCACCCAGCCAGTCAGCAGGCAGGGAGAAAAGCAACACTCCGAGGAAGAGGAAAGCTCCCCTGCCTCCCCCAGGTACCCCAGGCCAGGTAAGAGACAGAATCCTTCTTGGTACGGGCTTAGCTCCATATCTGCAGTCAGTATGGTAGGCACAAGGCAGCTGAACCCATTCAGAACTTCTCCATTTGCCTGCAGGAGGACCAGGATGCTTACGAGGAGATTGTGAGGCTGCGGCAGGAGAGGGCACAGTTCTTGCAGAAAATCCGGGGCTTGGAGCAGCAGGAGAAGGAGAGACGAGAGGTACTGATGAGGCACAATTTCATGGAGAAGATGCCACCCCATCACCAGGGATGGGAGGGATGAGGACAGCGTTTATCTTTCCCTGTTGTCTCCTTGTGTTTTGCCAGCAGGCAGAGCTGGATAAGGGCTCCCTACGCTCCATGGAGAAGCAGGTGAGGCCAGCGTGGGGAGGTCATAGGCAGCCTTGGCTGTCTGAGGGGTCCTGGTGCCATTGGGGAGTGAGGGGGACCCCTGTGTCATGCTCTGCAGATCCAAGAGCTGGAGGAGCGGCTGGCAGCACGGGAAAGAGAGAAGGAGCGGCTGGGGAAGGAAGTGGAGGCTCTGCAGAGCCGCTTGTCCTCACTGGAGGTGGGCACAGGCAGTGGCTGGCAGCACCAGAGGCCAGGCAGGGTGTGCAGCATCTGACATGTGCTGCTTTGCACCCCTAGAATGAGAAGGAAAACACCAGCTACGACATTGAGACACTGCAGGACGAGGAGGGAGAGCTGCTCGAGTTCCCAGGTAGGGCCCTGCTGGCTTCCCAAGGCCACATGGGGTTGTGCAGCACTCACAGACAGCGTTTCTGGTGGTGTGGAAGGAGCACATGGGCACAACACCAGCATCTGTGTGCTGCACAGGGGCAGAGCTGCTGCTCTCCAAGAAGACTCTGAGCCCTTCGGCTGAAGAGCTGCTGGCCACGCTGCAGGGTCAGGTGCAATCCCTCACCATGCAGAACAAGGAGCTGAGGGAGAAGATACAGGCAAGTCACCATCTGTCTGCCCATCCCTCCCTTGGTTCCCTGCCCGTCGGCAGCCTCACCATCCCCTCAGCAGGTCCTGGAGAACTTCGAGCGGGATGAGAGCGACCCATCTTCCCCTGGGGACTTTGTGCCTGCCAGCCTCTACAACTCCCTCAAGCGTGAGCTGGAGAGGCTGCAGGCTCAGGGTGCTGAGCGTGGGAAGCAGAGCCCTGCAACAGAGCCAAGTGGAAAAGGCAGCAAGGAGCAGCGGTGCGCTGAGCAACAGGTCCAGAGCCGCTGTGAGATGCGGGTGCCACTCCAGCAGTCTCACTCCAGCCGTGAGCAGGAGCATGGCACTGAGCTGGCTGAGGCTCGGATGGCCCTGAAACAGGCGCAAGCAGCACTGGAGGAGCGAGAGCAGCAGGTGAGGGAGCTGCAGGGCCGTTTGGAGGCTGGTGGTGCCCAAGAGGAGGCACTGCGGGAGAAGGCAGCCCTGCTGGAGCGCTGCAGCCGAGCAGAAGCAGTGGCGGAAGCGATGAGATGTGAGATGGAAGCCAAGACGCAGAGCTGGCGGGCAGGCAATGCACCCAACGTAGAGCCAGGAGTGGCAGAGCAGCGCATGGCCGAGCTGACAAGGCAGCATGGGGAGCTGACAACCCAGCTGGGGCAGCTACAAGAAGTGCTGGGCCGCAGGGAGGCCGAGCTGGAAACCCTGCGAGAGCAGCTGGCAGCCCGGCCAGTGGGACGGAAGGAGCACGAGGAGGTGCTGGCCCGGCTGCAGCAGGCACAGAGGGAAGCCAAGGGTCAGGTATCACTGGAGGAGCACGCTCGGGCCACAGCGGCGCTGCAGGAGCAGCTGCAGGCGCTGCAGCAGAGGGCAGATCGGCTGCAAGCTGTGGCAGAAGCCAAAGGACACGAGGCTGCGAGGCTGCAGGCTGAGCTGGCGACGGCGGTGCCGCGTGGGGAGCACGAGGAGGTGCAGGAGGGGTTGAGGGCTGAGGCGGCGGCGTTGAGCCAGAGGTTGAATGAGCTGTCGCGACGGCACGAGAAGACGTGCGAGGAGGTGTTCAAGGTGCAAAGGCAGGCGTTGTTCATGAAGAGTGAGAGGCAGGCGGCCGAGGAGAGGCTGGCCGCGGTGCAGAAGCAGTTGGCTGAAGCACGAGATGAAACACGGCGCTTGCAGGACCTCCACGGCCATGCAGAGGACTCAGCTCGGTTGGTCAGGGACAGGGATAGGAAGGTAGGGGATGGGGAGGTGGTGGAAGGGTGGCAGTGGGGTCACAGCAATGGGGAGACCCCTAAGGAGATGGGGCTGAGTGACACCTGGTTCCCCATAAATGTGCACTGCGCAGATCACTGAGCTTTCCAAGGAGGTCTTCAGGCTGAAGGAGGCCCTGAATGCTCTCCCAGAATCCAAGGGAGTGCTGCAGACCCCCCCCGACACTGCTGCCATGCAGTCCAGGATCCAGGCACTGGAGGAAAAGCTGGCGGTGGGTATCAGGGTGCCTGGTGGGTTCTCAGGTCCTCACCCCAAGCTCAAGCCTGCTTGCTCTCTTTCAGGAAATGGAGCTGCAGCACAGCAAGGTGGTCAAGCTGTACCGGAGCCACCTGCTCTATGCAGTGCAAGTGAGTGGGACATGGCAGTGGGGACAACACCATAGGGGACTACTGCACCATGTGTGCACCAGTACCCTATACACAGAGGTGGCAGCAAGGGATGCTCCTGAATGTCCCTTCTGCCCCAGGGCCACATGGATGAGGACGTGCAGAGGCTGCTGTGCCAGATCTTGAAGATGCAGAGGATGCAGGAGCAGGGCAGATGAATCCCCACCAGCAAGGCAGTACCACAGGGACCACGGGCACAGCCAGTAACCTGGCCGGGGGGAGGGGTGAGGGGGTCAGGCCCACGTTCACACCCTCACAGCCCCTTTGCTTCTCTGGGCAGCATCCTGGTACTGGCACACACATCTCCATCACTCACCTGGCACTGGGGGTCCTGTGCTAAGCCCCCACACTGCTGCACGCACCCCAGCACAGTAGCAATAAAGTATTTCTATTCACAGCAACTGGATGGTTTGTCTCTGGGGGGGGGGGGGGGGAAGATGGGAACATGGGTGATGTAGAACGCAGTGCTGGAAATGAAGATGCTGGGGATTTAATGCCATAATCTCCTTCAGCCTCGGTGCCCCCAGAGGGGAGCAGGCGACCACAAAAGAAGCAGTGGGATGGGAAGGGACAAAATCCTTTTAGACAGAGACAGAAAAACTGCTTCCCTGGGGCCAGGTGCAGTGATGAGCAGTGATCCCTGTGAGGTTAAACTGGCCTGCAAGTCTCCACTTTCTGTGTCAACACCTCCATCCCAAAGGCTGCCAGCTTCCAAGGTGTGACCACACCTCACCGAGCATGAACTCAGGAGTCGATTTTACACCAGTGACAACAGAAATATGATGAGAGTCACTCAAGCTCTAGCTGAAAGCAAGAAAATAGTATAAAAACGGCATCAGGGAGGAGGAATTAATGGAAGGTGGCATTGCAGACACGCTGGTAGTTCGTTGCTGACTTCTGGGATCGGTCAATGGGCTGAACCGCTCCCATCCATAGGAACGTGGCAGTCTGCTAAACGCTGCTGCCCCCTGCAGGACAAACAGCGCTACTGCAGGCACAGCACGGAGCCAAGGGCTCACCGCTGCCGCCTGCCGTCAATACTCGGTAATGCAGACGTTGATTCGCGCATGCGCAGTATCACCGAAACGCTCTGCACTCCCGTGACGCCTCTCTCTATGGTAGTAGGTCCTCCCGAGCTTGCTGCGCATGTGCGGAAGTAGAGTCGCTTCGTTTTAACCGCTCTGCGCCGCCAGGCCACCAATCTCTATGCTCTTTGGTCCTCCAGGCAGCACAACGCACGCTCCCGAAGACGTAAAAGCGACATCTATTCCTTGTAACTACTTGACGAGTAGATGAACAGTCCACTCGCGGACATTCCTCAATCCATTCCGCGATGTCTCTTGTTTATTTCCACGTTTTTTACCACAGGGGACGGACCGCTTTGTCACCCAGCTGCCCCTCAGAGCGTCGCGGCACCCGATTGGCTCATCGCGTCACCTGACCGACAGTTACCCGCCCCAGCATCGCGCATGCGTATTAACCCTGCGTCACTCGCTGCTGCCATCTAGCGACCAAAATGCGGTACTGCAGGCGCTGCCCCACGCACGTGCGGTAGCGCAGAGGCTGCCGTGCGATGCGTGGGAAACAACCACGCCGTTTGGACGTCGGGCTGCTTGGAAAAAAGCGTTTTCTTTACATTTTGCTAGGAATTATTCGTGTTCTGGGTAGGATAAGCTGGATCTGAGGCACAGTGAACAGAGCCAAAGCATCCAGCTGGACACTTTGAGTCCCTTCATGCATGATCCAGTTGGTTGAAGAGTCAGGCTCAAAGCTTTGTAGCACCCAGGGAAACACAAAAGGTGAAAATCTGCATTCCTGCATTGCTGACAGGGATACGTCGAGAGGAGCCCACTGGCATTAAGCAAGCATTTGCACAGAAGCAGCCGTGGGACCTCTTCAGATCCACCGTGGAGTCACCTAGGAGCTGCTGAACACGTGGATTTCTTACCTGTCTCCTACAGCCGAGCTTCGTGGTATCGAAGTGCTTCGCGATCCCGGCCACGTCGCTAAATCTGCCGGTATGCAGCCACGTGCTATATTGCATTGAGAAGGCAGCACTGCGCATGCTCGCCACAGAGGCGCTACCGCGCATGCGCGGGGCTATGCCTGCAGTACCACCTGATGTCCAGTAGGGGGCGGCAGAGAGCCGCAGCGCTCCGGGAAGATGCGAAAACCGCTGGAAAAAGGATCGAGATAAGAGCATCATTTTAAAGTGATACGGGAAAAACAACAGCTGATCACCTGCCGATCGTTGTCCAGATGCTGCTCAGCAACAGAAAGCCAACAATGCACTCAAACCATCTTCAGGGTGCCCGCTTTTCCCCTGGAGACCAGCCTGGTCTGAGCAATTCTCTGTCATTTTGCTTCCTTAATGAGTAGAATTGCTCCTGGAGCTGTAACATCAACCATAATCCCATCTGTCTCTGTGAAGAGAATCTGTTTTGGTGTCAGAGCGGTCCGGCCCTGCGTGGTGCTGCAGGTAACTCCCATAACTATGGGCTGTAGCATCTGGAAAGCTGTAGCTGGAAGGGTCTCAGCCCAAGGCTGACCTGCTCAGGGGAAGGCAAAGCCTTTGTAGGACCCTACAGCATGGAAGCAGATTGCATCTTAACCCTACAATAACATTAATCATCACCCCGATCACCCTAACGATAATTGTCATAGCCCTAAAAATCCACTAAAAACAAGCCAGGAAAGTCATCATAAGAGTAACACCAACAGTAATTTCAACCCTAAAGAGAACTCTAACGAAATGCTAATCATAATTGCCATTACTCTATAAATTACTGTATTAACCCTAATAATAGCCCAAACCTCTAATAATCCTGACCACGCTGCCACTGTAACCAATGCAAGACCTGCAAGGGCACTTCTGTGGCTCCTGGTGAAAGCAGCAAGAAACAGAAAGCTGCATTTCCTGGGATGCTCTGGCATCAGCCTTGCTGACTGACTGCTAATTGCTCAAATAGATAAGGGCAATACACACACTCAGATGTAATCTCATTACACAGCGTGGCACGCTCTGTTTTTTTTCCCACAGCTCGTTGCTGTGTTTTATGGCATCCTGTTGGCTTTGTGTTGGTTTTCTCTTGTTTTCCCTGAGCGTTTTCCTTGTTTTTTCCCTCTCTTTCCCCTTGCCTTCTCCTGGGTTGCATTTTAGGGTTCAATGCTCACAATGAAAGTGCTATGGTTCTACAAGAGGCTTATCCAGTTGGGTTGTATTGCATCACTTTATGCCTTGGATCTCTCTATGGGGCACCAGAGCCTCGAAGCAGATCATTTGTGGGGTCTGATTACGGGGGAGGTGATTCCCTTGGTGGGGTCTGAACAGTGGGGCCAGAGCCCTAACCCTGACCCCAAACCTCACCCTAATAACCCTGACCCCAACTCTGACCCCAAACCTCACCCTAATAACCCTGACCCCAACCCTGACCCCAAACCTCATCCTAATAACCCTGACTCCAACCCTGACCCCAAACTTCATCCTAATAACCCTGACCCCAACCCTGACCCCAAACCTCACCCTAGTAACCCTGACCCCAACCCTGACCCCAAACCTCACCCTAATAACCCTGACCCCAACCCAGACCTCAAACCTCACCCTAATAACCCTGACCCCAACCCTGACCCCAAACCTCACCCTAATAACTCTGACCCCAAACCCCATCCTAATAACCCTGACCCCAACCCAGACCCCAAACCTCACCCTAATAACCCTGATCCTAAACCCCAATGGGACCCCAGCCCCCAAAATAGTACTGATCAGATGCCTAAAGACCCTAAAGAGAGTGTAATCACCTGAGACGTGCGCTGCTTTTGGGATGGGCTCAAGGATTTGTCTCCTATGGGCTTGTTCAGTGTTCTGGGGTGGATGTAGGGGTTTGGGAGCCCCATAGCAGGACCTGGTGGGAGCTGGGGTTTGAGGATCATGGTTAGGAATGAGGTTTGATGTTGGGACAGCATGACTCAAGCAAACCAGAGCCTCCAGCACTTCTCCATCCTGCAGGAGCTGGGCACCAAAACATCCACACCTCAGGGTGCAATGGGGTTTCCTTGGGGTCCCCCCAGTTTCTTTCCCCACATCACCCCAGCACCATCCCAGTTCTCTCCCAATTGGGGTTGCAGACCCCACTTTGGCTGCCCATTGCCTTCCCCAGCCCCCCCTGTTTTGCATGGCTCTATGGAAGCCGTGCAGCCGTTGCCAATCAGTAGGGGATGAAAGCTGGCGCTGCATAAAGGCACAAATGAGAGAAGCAGCAGCATCAGGACCAAGCAGGGCTGCCTGGCTCTGCCTTTCCTCCTCCCCAGCACTGTGTTGCTGTGATGTTTGGGAGCACCCTGTGAGCCCCACGTGGATTTCCTACCCCCCACCGTTCGCCTGCGAGCGCCCACCTCCTCCTGCCTGAGCCATGGGTGCCACAAACCACCTCTCTCCCCCATAAAGCCCCGATTGTCACCATCCACGTGCTGGGTTTGGAACGCCGTCAGGGCTGCTGGCTCACTACAGCCTCTTCCCAACAGCCAACGTTTGGCATTCCCCATCCAATCCCCTCCACGCAGCTGCGCTCGGTCACAATGGTCCCTTCTTGCACTGGGGCTGCCATCCCCCCCCTTCATGCCAGGAGGAGCAACTTTCCCTGGTTGGAATGAGGCAGAAAAATTCACGTTTGTATGTGGAGCAAAGATCTGCTGGGAGCCCCCAGCAGTCTGAGCTCGAGCTCACTGTGAGCTGATTCTGCTGCAAAGGGTCTGCAACCCCAATTGGGAGAGAACTGGGATGGTGCTGGGGTGATGTGGGGAGAGAAACTGGGGGGACCCCAAAGGGAAACCCCATTGGACCCTGAGGTGTGGATGTTTTGGTGCCCAGCTCCTGCAGGATGGAGAAGTGCTGGAGGCTCTGGTTTGCTTGAGTGCTCTTCGATCCCTCCCAGCATTGCGTGCTCTGTTACAGGGCACTGCAGTGCAGACCCTAATGAAAGACTGTAGATCTTATCCGTGTTATTAAAGCCCTCTGGGGATGGAAGCAAAGCAGCAAATGCTGATGGGGAGGAGACAGACCTGGCCCTGAGCAACCAGAAGCTTCCCTTGGGTGCAATGCAGCACTCAACCAGCCCCAGGTGGCCCAGTGACAATGCTGTCACCTGCTGTCACCTCCCCTCCCACCCCCCAACCCAGGACACCCAGTGGGGTGATGGAATGGCAGCATGCAGTCCCCAGGAGCTGCTAATTGGAAACAGCAGTGGGAAGTTTTGTCATTAACACCTGGGACTGATAATTGCTGTGTTGCTGTGGCTGTGCCCTGGGAGCTGCCAGAATGCCAGTCCCCAGGTTCCACAAACATCCCATCCAAAATCACAGCAATTCCCCCCTCTCCATGTGCAAAGAGCAGCAGTTGCATCTCTGGGGATGGAGCTGTGGGAGGTGAAGCCCTCTGGGGTTGGGATAAGGAGCGGGGCACCTCAAACCCATTAAGCTAGAGATGTGATGCTGGGATGTGATGCTCACCCACTGGAGCTGGGAGCATATTTGGGGTGGCAAATGAAAGCCAACGAGGCATGAAAGGTGATGGGTGTCCTTGGGGGTGGCACTCAGGCTGTACGAGCTGCACCCCAACATCACTACCTTGTCAGCATGGGGACACACTATAGGGCAGTCCCCAGTGCTGGGGAACCCCTTCTACAGCTGTGCCCCAAAGCAGAGGGGCTGTGCAGGTCCCCAGGGTTGTGCAGGTCCCCAGGGTTGTGTCTCCATGCAGTGCTGTCCCCTACATCAACCAGCCTGGCTCTCCCCCTTGCTGCACATCTGTCCCCGTTGCCGCAGCTGGAGCTGGTGCCTTCTGCCTTTGTTTGTTTGTTCACAGTACAGCAGCTCTGAATCATTAGATAATTAACGCTCCGGAGAAGCTGCCATCAGGAAGTGCTGTTCCTCCAGAGGCACGTGCTGTCCTCCTGGGTGTTTTCAGGTGGGGGACACCCAGAGAGGTTGCACAGACCCCATCCTCCATCCCGTGCTCAGAGGTGCAGGATGGACCCACGTTGAAAACACGGCCTCCAAAAATCCGAGTGCTGGAGGCTGAATCCATCCACCCATCACCCCTGGGCTGCCCAGGAGAAATGGGAGCTGCCCAGTGCCTGTGCAGTGAGCGTGACCCATTTACCTGGGCTCGTTAGCATGGTGAAAGGCTGCTTAATTTGAGGCTGAGAGCTCAGCACGTGCTGAGCACAGCGCCCTGGGCACGCTCTGGATGGGACAAAAGGGAATGTGGGTTAAACACAAAGCATTGCTCTGCTGCACACGGAGGATGGAGCATGTGCCCACCCTGATCTCCTGCTGCAATTAGCTAATTGCTCTGTATTCTCATGGTGGGGGGAGATGCTCGTTCCCCAGCATTAAGACCATTGGGGACTGCCCTATAGTGTGTCCCCATGCTGATGTTGGGGTGCAGCTCGTACAGCCTGAGTACCACCCCCAAGGACACCCATCAGCTCAGCACCTTTCATGCCTCGTTGGCTTTCATTTGCCACCCCAAATATGCTTCCAGCTCCAGTGGGTGAGCATCACATCCCAGCATCACATCGCTGCGCTCATCTGCTGCTAAGCTGCTTCTAGGTGTCCCCACCCTGTGGTTCCCCATGGTACCACACAGCAGTGGTAGCAACCAGGGGGGGCTCGAAGTGGCAGGATGGGGCACAGAGCTCCGTCCTGAGCCTGGATGATGCCACGTGCTGAGGATCAGCCTCACATTTTGGGGATGTGCTGCTGCACCCCCAACCTTCAGCATCATTCATGCCTTGATTGTGTATTGCAGGGGGGTTCTGGGCTGCGCTGGGGTGGGGTGAGGTGGTGACTGCTGTGGGTGCAGTGTGTGATGTCATCATCAGCCAATGTGACAAATGATGTCATCAGGTGGGGAGAGACCTTCTTAGGGCATCTTGCTTTTCGGGTGACGGTGCTGCAGGAAACTGGGTGCTGGGATACCCCCATGCAACGTGTGATAAAAGGAAAAGGGTGGGGATGGGGTGCAGGGCTGGGATGGCACAGGGGTGTCTGGCTGGGGAGGGGGAAAAAGAGGACGAGGAGGAGGAAGAGGAAGAGGGGGAGGAAGATGGCAACCTCACGTTGGCACAGAGCAGTGCCACCAACTCGTGGACACAGGTCCCGTCCTTGTGCTGCTGACATATTGACTGACAATTCTTAATCAAGTGGATTATTAATTAGCAGAAGAAGCCGGCTGCTTAATCCTCCCCATCCTTGGCCGGGCTCGGAGCCGGGATTTTATGCTAATCGTGGCTGTTATCGCGGCGATGTCAGCAGCTGAGGCCAAGGCTGACAGGAGAGCGCGGCGGCAGCGAGATCCGTAATTGCAGATTTAATCAGCTGTAATGTTTTCTGAAGCCACCACGCGCCCTCGTGCACAGTGCAGCCTCCTTCCGTGCTCTGCATCTCTCCCCTTTGCTGCCCGTGGTGACGGTGCCACGTGCACGGCCACGTCCCCCGTTGTCCCCAACCCTGCTGGGTTCCCCCCATGGTGGGTCTGTGCCAAACTGGGTTGTGTGGATGGGGTTGGGGAGCACCTCCTCTGTTGCCATTTGATGCTGTATTTCGGAGCAGTGTTGGTCCTCATCATTGTCAGCGCAAGGCTCGCTTAACATCGTGTCTGTCGGAGGAAATCTCACATCCCTAATTAAAGCTCAGCGCATGCAGCGTTGATTCCCTGGAGATTCTTCCCTCTCTTTCCTATTTCCCGTCAAGATCAAGGGGATAAACCCATGTTACCGTTAAAGTTAACAACAGCAGCAACAAAGGGAAGTGCTGACAGCCCCGTGCTGGCAGCGGGTGCTTCTCTGGAGGCTGTGATGTATTGGGGGTGTTGGTGGAACAGCAGCACCGGGGGGCTGCCAGTGACCCGGGACTGATGGTAATAATAGGACAAAGGGGGGATGATTGATGTAGGTCAGATGTGAGGAGGAAATTCTTCGCTGAGGGAGGTGTGGGTGC